AATTATATGCCAATAAATTGGAAAACCTGGACAAAAAGGATAAATTCCTAGAAACATATATCTTCCAAGACTAAATCAATAATAAACAGAAAATCAGAACTGAAAAACTATTAATAAAATTAAAATAATCAAAAAATTCCCAACATACAAACTCCTAGACCAGATGGCTTCACAGGAGAATTTTTCCAAACATTCAAAGAACAATTAACACCTATCTTTCACAAGTTAATCCAAAACACTGAAGAAGAAAGAAGGCTCCCAAGCTCATTTTACAAGGGCAGCATTAACCTGAGACCAAAGCCAGACAAAGATATTGCAAAAAAAGAAAAACAGAAAAATTATAGGCCAATATCTGATAAACAATAAAGCAAAAATCTTTAAAATATCAGCAAACCAAATTCAGCAATACATTAAAAATATTAGATACCATGATCAAGTGGAATTTATTCCTGGTATGCAAGGTTGGTTGATTATCCACCAATCAACTAATATGATATACCATATAAACAAAATGAAGGATAAAAATCATGACAGTATCAGTATATGAAGAAAACACATTCCACAAAAACCAGCATCAATTTATGATAAAACCTCGCAGCAAAATGGGAACAGAAGGAATATACCTCAACATAATAAAAACAATATATGAGAAACCCACAGCTAACATCATTCTCAATGGCAAAACTAAAAACATTTTCCTTACGATCAAGAACAAGACAAGGATGTCCACTTTCACCACTTTTATTCAACATAGTAATGGAAGTTCTAGACACAGCAATCAGACAAGGAAAATAAATAAAAGGTATCCAAATTAGAAAAAAGAGTAAAATTATCATTATTTGCAGATGACTCAATACTATACAGAAAGAAACAAGAAAGATTCCACCAAAAAACTATTAAACTAATGAACACATTCAATAAATTAGGAGTCAAAATTAATATTCAGAAATTGGTTGCACTTTTATATACCAATAACAAACTACCAGAGAAATAAGAAAACAATCTTATTTATAATGCATCAAACAGAATAAAATAGTATGAATAAATTTAACAAGAATGTAAAAAGCCTGTACTCAGAAAACCGTAAGTCACTACAGAAAGTTACAGGAGATACAAATAAATGGCAGGATACGGGCAGGAAGAATCGACACTGTTAAAATGTCCATACTACCCAAAGTAGTTCACAGATTCAAAGTAATTCCTATCAAAATACCAATGACATTTTTCACAGAATTAGAACATGTAATCCTGAAATGTATGTAAAATAATAAAAAGATTCAGAATGGTGAAAGCAATCTTCAGAAAGAAGAATAAGGTTGGAGGTATCACGCAACCTAATATCAAACTGTGCTACAAGGCTACAGTAATTAAAACAGCATGGTACTGGTATAAAAACAAAAACATAGATCAATGAACCAGAGTAAGATCAGAAGAGGCAAGAGTATTCATGGGGTCAAGACAGGCGCTTCATTAAATGGTGTTGGGCAAAGTGGGCAGATACATGCAAAAGAATAAACTAGATCACATTCTTATACCATGTACGAGAATAAACTCAAAATAAAGACTTAAGTGTAACACCCAAAACCATAAAATCTCTAGAAAAAAACATAGGCAGTAAATTCATTGACATTGCTCTTAGACAGATTTTAGATATGTCTGCTTGGACAAGGCAAAAGAAACAAAACAAAACAAAACAAAACAAAAACAACAACAAAATGAGACTACATCAAACTTAAACATTTTTACAAAGGAAACCATCAACAAAATTAAAAGACAACCTACTGAATGGGAGAATATATTCACCAATGATACATCCAGTAAGTCATTAATATCCAAATTATATAAGAAATTTACACAACTTAGCACTAAAAAAAAAAGGTTAAAAAATGGTCAAAGATGATATATAATACACAGATGAAGTATTATAGAATTGTACACCTGAAATCTAAATAATTTTATTAAGCAGTCACCCCAATAAATTCAATAAATAAGGAAAAAAAAATGGACAGAGGACCCAAATAAATATTTCTCCAAAAAGCCCATACTCATGGCCAACAGACATATGAGAAAAGATGCTCAGGGTCACTAAACATCAGAGCAATACAAATGAAAACCACAATGAAGTATCACCTCACACCTGTCAAATGGCCATCATCAATAAATCAACAAACAAGTGTGGGCAAGGAGTGGGAAAAGGAAACTGTGCACCGTAGTGGGATGCAGACGGGTGCAGCACTGAGTGACAGTATGGAGATCCCTCTGCACATCCAAACAGACCTACCCTCACCCAGCCACAGCGCTGCTGGGCACTCATCTGGAGAGAGACACAGCCCCACTGGAAGAGATGTGAGCGTCCCTACCATCACTGCAGCACTATGTTCAAGAGCCAAGGGATGAAGAAACCTAAGTGCCCACGGACAGACGAATGGATACAAGAGCTGGTATATCTACACAATGGAATATGACTCAGCCATTAAAAAAAATAATCAAACATTACCATTTCTGACAACATGGATGGTACCCAAACGGTATTATGTTAAGTGAAATATGTCAGTCAGAGAAAGACAAATATCATGATTTTATTTATATGTGGAATCTAAAATCAAGCAGAAACAAACTCATAGTTACTAGGGACAAGCTGAGGGTTGAGGGGCCAGTGAAAACGTGAAGAGATAAGAACTACCAACTGGCAGTCACCAAACAGTGAGGGGCTGTGAGCGTGGCACACGGAATGCAGTCAATATTGCGGTAACTATGCACGCTGTCAGGTGGGTATCAGACCCATCGGAAGGATCACTTCCCAAGTTATATGCGTGTCACCCAGCCGGTGTGGCTTGCTGGACTGAGTGTTGTCCCATGGACTGAGAGGTCCCAGTTCAATTCCCGGCCAGGGCACATGCCCAGATCCCCCGTAGGGGGTGAGCAGGAGGCAGCCAATCAATGTATCTCTCTCACATCGGTATTTCTCTCTCCTTTCCTCTCTAAAAAAAATAAATAAACAAAAAAATATATATTTTAAGTTATATAAATGTCTAACCACTCTACTGTATACTCGAAATTAATATAATATTGAATGTCAACTGTAATTGAAAAAGTAAATAAAAAAATCCCTGTTAATTTAAAACATTATAGTAGTATCTGACATATTTTTCTCAAAAAGGGTTTTTACCACATCTGTGTATTTATATCCAAAAAGAAATGGGATTTCCACATCACATGCTGCGAAGTGAAGGTGTGCATAGCTCACGCAGCAGCCAGAGCACACTAGAACTGGAATGTGGTACGAAGGTGCGCGGTCAGTCTGCGCCCAGCACGCGTGTGCATCTCATGTGCGTGTGTGAAGGGTGCAGCCAGAGCACACTAGAACTGGAATGCGGTACAAAGGTGCGCGGTCAGTCTGCGCCCAGCACGCGTGTGCATCTCATGTGCGTGTGTGAAAGGTGCACACTAGAACTGGAATGCGGTACGAAGGTGCGCAGTCAGTCTGCGCCCAGCACGCGTGTGCATATCATGTGCGTGTGTGAAAGGTGCAGCCAGAGCACACTAGAACTGGAATGCGGTACGAAGGTGCGCGGTCAGTCTGCGCCCAGCACGCGTGTGCATCTCATGTGCGTGTGTGAAAGGTGCAGCCAGAGCACACTAGAACTGGAATGCGGTACGAAGGTGCGCGGTCAGTCTGCGCCCAGCCCGCGTGTGCCTATCATGTGCGTGTGTGAAAGGTGCAGCCAGAGCACACTAGAACTGGAATGCGGTACGAAGGTGCGCGGTCAGTCTGCGCCCAGCACGCGTGTGCATATCATGTGCGTGTGTGAAAGGTGCAGCCAGAGCACACTAGAACTGGAATGCGGTACGAAGGTGCGCGGTCAGTCTGCGCCCAGCCCGCGTGTGCATTTCATGTGCGTGTGTGAAAGGTGCAGCCAGAGCACACTAGAACTGGAATGCGGTACGAAGGTGCGCAGTCAGTCTGCGCCCAGCACGCGTGTGCATCTCATGTGCGTGTGTGAAAGGTGCACACTAGAACTGGAATGCGGTACGAAGGTGCGCAGTCAGTCTGCGCCCAGCACGCGTGTGCATTTCATGTGCGTGTGTGAAAGGTGCACACTAGAACTGGAATGCGGTACAAAGGTGCGCGGTCAGTCTGCGCCCAGCACGCGTGTGCATCTCATGTGCGTGTGTGAAAGGTGCACACTAGAACTGGAATGCGGTACGAAGGTGCGCAGTCAGTCTGCGCCCAGCACGCGTGTGCATCTCATGTGCGTGTGTGAAAGGTGCACACTAGAACTGGAATGTGGTACGAAGGTGCGCGGTCAGTCTGCGCCCAGCCCACGTGTGCATCTCATGTGCGTGTGTGAAAGGTGCAGCCAGAGCACACTAGAACTGGAATGCGGTACGAAGGTGCGCGGTCAGTCTGCGCCCAGCACGCGTGTGCATCTCATGTGCGTGTGTGAAAGGTGCAGCCAGAGCACACTAGAACTGGAATGCGGTATGAAGGTGCGCGGTCAGTCTGCGCCCAGCCCACGTGTGCATCTCATGTGCGTGTGTGAAAGGTGCAGCCAGAGCACACTAGAACTGGAATGCGGTACGAAGGTGCGCGGTCAGTCTGCGCCCAGCACGCGTGTGCATCTCATGTGCATGTGTGAAAGGTGCAGCCAGAGCACACTAGAACTGGAATGCGGTACGAAGGTGCGCGGTCAGTCTGCGCCCAGCACGCGTGTGCATCTCATGTGCATGTGTGAAAGGTGCAGCCAGAGCACACTAGAACTGGAATGCGGTACGAAGGTGCGCGGTCAGTCTGCGCCCAGCCCGTGTGTGCATTTCATGTGCATGTGTGAAAGGTGCCACTGTCAAGTCTCTCGGCAAGTACCGGTCGGCTAAACTCTGTAACCGGGCACTTCCTCCAGAGCATAGAGATTCCACACACATTCAGCTCGAACCGTTATCTCGAGTAACAGCAGCAGCTGAGACAGAGCTCAGCTGTCTGAGTCGGGTGTGGTACTTACTTTGACTCTGTGCATGACCTGACTGAGTGGAAAGGTCTTCATTTTCTACATGAAAATAAACAAATAAAAGTCGATGTCAAGTTTTAGCCAAATTACTCACCACCACAATAATAATCAGCAATTGGGTCAAATAAAAAGGTGTGCATGTCATGTCAGGACAACAATGTGTCTGTGGGGGTGGGGAGGAGGAAGCAAGCAGAAGTCACGGTGGCAGCTGTACGCAAGGTGACAGGACTACAAACCCTGGACCCTAACACCCAGGTGTATCTAAGAGCACTTCCTGGCAGGGACGGCCTCGTGCGCCTCCAGGGTAAGGTGCAGCCTGCACACGCGGAGCCGGCAGACGGTCACTCTGGGCACCAGTCGCTACAACACGGGACAGACTCGGAGCGGGATGCCAGGTGCAGAAGGCAGTGCCATGGGAGGACCCAGCCCCACCGCCACGTGGGCCACCCACGCAGACAGGAGGTGGCCCTGCCCACCGCTTCACTCGGTTATGAAAAAGTCTCGCTGCTAGGGGCTGTCGAGAACTATCCTAGTTTGCTGAGCTGGAGCCTGGGAGACGGACCACCTCACCCCTACTCCGTGGCACCCACCACGGGAAAGGACCTGCCTAACCAAAGCGCAGGCCACAGATGACAAGGTGGAGACGCTGCCCTCATGCTTGGCAATCCCCGCCCGAGAAACCAATAATGTGACGTGCACAAGCCCTGACACCTCAGCCAGAGAGAAACGCATCTTCTTTAAGGACCTCAATACGAACAAACAACTAGAACAGATGGTGTCGATCAATGCAGATGCAACAGAAGAAACAAAATGAACTTTAAAAACTTGAAATACAAATGAACACATACACATATACTACTATAAGACATAAGCAGAGAAGGTGAAAACTTTTAGATATAAAAGTGTGACTCCAAATTAATAAATGCAAAGAATGGTAAAGATTAGAAATAATATTACTAAAAGCTAAATTATTTAGGTAGAGAAAAAAAATACCTTTAAAACTGGCAAAAATACCAAAAAAAGTATCATAAATGAGTAGATAAGTGACTTGGAAGACAAATACAGTGCAAAATAGGAGTACGAGAGAAAAAAAATAACATGAAAAAGCAATAATTAAAGAATAAAAGCAACATTTCCTAAGCTTTAACGACTTGAGTTTTCATATCCAGAGGGCTTACAGAGTCCCAGGACAGATAAATGATAAGATACACATCTAGACATCATGATGAAATATCTGAATCCCAAGATTAAAGACCTTTCTGAATTCTAAAGATAAGAAAACTCTCTGTAAGCTTACAGAAAGAGCCCACGTTCTGATAAAGAAAAGAAAGTAACTGGAGTTGGTGTCTCTCCGATAGCCCTACACAGGTGCCTTTCTGAAGAAACTACTCAGGAAAACGTTCTATTAAAGGAAAATTAGAGCGAACACATCGGGACAGGAAGTCAAAGGGCAGAAGGAAGAGGGAGCAGCCAGAGTTCAGGCAGAAGCAAACCGGTAACATTCCGAGAGAACGCGAATGGGTCAGGAAGGACGGGAGTGTGGGGTCGAGCGATGGAGGGGCAACAGCGTTTAGTTTCCGTACGACGACCATGAAGAATCTGAGGTGATCAATAGCCATAAAAGGTCACCTTTTTAAGATGAACAAGTGTGATAAAAAATAATAATGAATAAAATAAAATGGAAGGACTAAGAATAAATATGTAACTTTTTACAACTGTTGGAAATTCCTATTAAGTCTCCCCTTCACTGGTTTAATAATCAGAATCTATCTATATGTAATTTATAAACCAAGTAACCTACCAAATAAACAAATCCCTAAAACAATTAAAAATAAAGATACAGGCAAAATACTGTCATAAAATAAAATAAAAACAAAAAGGAGTTAGGATAATATTAATAGCCAATAAGGCCAGGGAAAAAGGGAATATTTTATAGTAAGTATAACTCAGCTGATTATTTTTTTATACCTAGGAAACTCAAAACACTTGTTTAAAAAAGGTAATTAGTATTCGGCACCTAGAAATAAAATATTCCATTTAAAATGGCAACAAAAAATACTTCTAGGATCCCCAGAGACAAACCTAAGGCAAAGAAGCCACAACCAGGAAAACCACCGAATCCTGGAGAAGGTGGCCCTGGGGAAGCAGCCCGGCCGACAGGGGACAGTGGCGCACGGAACTGGACGAGAGGCCCATCACACACTGTCCCTTCTCCCAGAATCACGAGGTAACTATATACCCATAAATTCTACTGTTCTCAATTGCATAAAATGATTTTATGATTCAGAGGACAGAATACATTTCTAAACAATAGTTAAAAATTATGAAAATATCATGAGACAAAGTCAGCCTGATCAGACATCAGAACACATTATAAATCTGCTAATCAGTCAATATGGTATTATAACCTAAAATAACCATATTGCAACAGAATGATAAAAATAAAAACAAACTAGAGCCATGTGTGTACATGGAAACCTAAATGTGCGTTTCAGAGCAGCAGGGAAACCAGACTCGTCAGCGGTGACGCCGGCACACAGGGCGCCTGGAGACGCCGGGAGGAACGGGCCCCGCAGGACACGACGCGGAGGAGCAGGGCTCACAGGGCCAGGCGCCCGGGGCCCAGGGCGAGGGCCTGAGCCACGAGGACAGGAGCCCGGCTTCCTCCCTCGGCCTCTCTCTGCCCTGCAAACGTGAAGCTGCAGGGGTCGCAGGTCCCACCACCGCGGGCAGGGAAAGGGGCCGTGTTCTGGGACGTTCTGCACCCCCACCCACCCAGAGTGCTCGGCCGCTAGCAGAGAACAATCTGCCAGCAAAGAGGAAAAGAATGTCTTACACGCTAGTAAGTAATTTTGAGTCTCTGGAAGACAAAAAAATTAGGTCCTCTACCTACCCTAAACATGTATAAAAATAAACGGCAGTGGATTAAAAGCTAAACATTGAAAAGAATCACTATAAAAGTAAATAGAGAATATTGATGATATTCTCACACTGCTGGGATGAGGAGAGTCTTTCTAGGCAGAAAATAAGACTCGGAAGAGTCAGTAAGTAACAGCTGAACAAAATAAAACTTAAATTTTTGTAAAAGACACAAAAGAAAACGTCAGCTAATCAGCCCTATCAGACTGGCGGAGGTGGAACGGCAGCGTCCGAGCTGAGGGTGTGCACCCCTGCACCCCTGCACCCCACACCTCACTGGCAGGCAGAGCCCGGTGGTCTCTGGGGAGAGGTTGGTGATGGGCAGAAGGTGCAGACATCGTCATACCCCATGACCCCAATACGCCGGGGGACAGGCTGGACGGGAGCGTGCTGGGAAGGCAGTTAGTCCCTCTGGGAACCTTTCCCTGACAGAACCAGCTTGCCCCAATGGTGACATGCATTAAGTCAATGACACTTTTTCTGTCAAGTTTCTTCCTCACGAGAAATGCCCGACTTGCAGGCTGCTCGAGGTCACACGTGGGCCAGAGCTCAAGGGCCCGCGTGTACCTCGGATGCTTCGTGGGCTCCTCGGTGCGGCTCCGCCTGCACGACCACCGTTTCAGACCGAGTGTGCCTCGGTGCAGACACTGCATTCACCCTGAACACCCCGGCTGACGCTACTTTACCTGTTCCTGCGGGATTAGGCGTGTACGGAGGTGGAGGGGGTACCCCAGGAGCGATGACGCTGGCTAACGGTACCAGACCTGCATTGTTATAAGCACCTAAAAAAAATGTAATAGAAAAGATAAATAATTTAGTATCCTTTTCAGGCCAGGAGTTCAAACTGTACTGATGCGCCTGTCTAGTTTACTTTTATTATTTTTCTGGTACATGCCCCTAGCGGAGCTGAACCCGGAACTCTGGTCCACAGGCCGACATTCCAACTGCTGAGCCAAACAGGCCAGGGCCACCTAGTTCATTTCTAAAACTGGGACATAATAGAATTCATTTTACGTGAAGGTCTGATCTAGAATCGGGTGAAGAGAGATCAGAAGACACGACTGGAGTCCCCACTCCCAGCACGGCGTGCTGGCCCAGGCTAAGCGCCAGGATGGAGCGGCGGGCAGCAGCGGCCACGTGGCCTCGTGTCCTGTGTGCCAGGCTCAGACACCTGCCCGTTCAAAGCTGAGCGCACCGAGTCTGCCTCTGAACACCGACGTCACCAAGGAACAAGCGATTTACCAAAGTGAAGACTCGGCACAGTGAGTAACGGTTAAGAGAACCTACACTCAGTCCGCGAGATGAACCTCCCACCCAACTCCCGGCCTGTGGCAGCCCAGCCCCGGCAGCTAACCGCCGGCTTACCCGTCACGGCCGTTTCAGTGCCCGGCTCCCGAGGACAGGCACCCACACTCCCCCCCCACAGCGACCAGAGCACAGGCACCCACACTCCACACAGCGACCAGAGCACAGACACCCACACTCCACACAGCGACCAGAGCACAGACACCCACACTCCCCCCACAGCGACCAGAGCACAGACACCCACACTCCCCACAGCGACCAGAGCACAGGCACCCACACTCCACACAGCGACCAGAGCACAGACACCCACACTCCACACAGCGACCAGAGCACAGACACCCACACTCCCCCCCACAGCGACCAGAGCACAGACACCCACACTCCACACAGCGACCAGAGCACAGGCACCCACACTCCCCACAGCGACCAGAGCACGGGCAGACCCGGGAACCACAGAGAAGGCCTTACTTGGAGTGACGGTCGCGTGCGGCCGGCAGGGAGGTATCGGGTACGGCACAGGCTTGTGCGGGTTGTACGTAGACGGCGGCTGGATGAGGGACAAAGCACAGCAGTTAGGAGGGAGCCACCAAGCAGACCACTGCAGAACATCACAGCCGCCTCAGAGCAGCTGGTCCTGGGCCGACTATGCCGGCAAAGCGAACGCACTGGACCAACATGTGGCACAGGTACGGGAGCGTCTGCCTGGAACACTCGGTCCCTATCCCACTCCAGAGATCGTACGGTGTGTCATTTCCATTCCGGCACCAAACCATCCGAGCGAGCGCCCGGACCTCGTCCTGAGCAGCTCTCCGCTCTGCCTGCTTCACTCTAGAGCCCCCTCCTCCCATGGACAGAAACCCACTCGCTTTCGGAATCTCAGCTGCCAAGACCCCTGGAGAGGCCCGAGCGGGGGCGGCATGCATCCTGGCACCCTGCCCCCCTCCCTCCTGCAGCAGCGCGTTCTGGCGGGGAGCAGACTGGCTGCAGGCATGACTTCAGTCTGCTAGTCTCTCTCGCCTTTTGAAATCCACAAGTCTTTTATTCCGTCCTTGAGGGAACCGATCAGGAATGACAAAGACATGAAAAGAGCTGCTCTCTAGTGAACCAGAGGTGTCGGAAGCTGAGCCAAATACTTCACTTTTTTTTTTTTTTAATCCTCACCTGAGGAGGATTTTTGATATTTTGTTCAGATAGAGTGGAAGGGAGGGAGAGAGAGAGAAACATCGATGTGAAAGGGACACATCGAGTGGCTGCCACCGCACGACCCAACCAGGGCCAGGGACAAACTGCAACCGAAGTACGTGCCCTTGGTGGGAACCGAACCCGGGTCTCTCTGGACCGCAGGCCAACGCTCTAACCGCTGAGCCGAACCGGCCAGGGTCCAAATACTTCACTTAAAAAAATTTTTTTGGTGTTAACCCTCACTTGCGCATATTTTTCCATTAGTTTTTAGAGAGTGGAAAGGGGGGGTGGGGAGGGACAGACAGGGATGTGAGAGACACTCATCAAGTGGTCACCTCCCACATGACCCTGACTAGCCCTGGGGATTAGACCTGCAACCCAGGTACATGCCCCTTCACTGGAATCGAACCCACAACCCTTTGGTCTTCAAGCCTACACTCTAATTGCTGAGCCAAACTGGTCAGGACTAATGGGGGTGAGGGGAGAGGAGGAGAGAGAAGGGGGAGAGAGGGGACAGGGGAGAGGAGGGCAAGAGGGAGGGAGGGAGGAGAGGGGGAGGGGGAGGGGAGAGAGAGGACAGAGAGAGGAGAGGGCCAGCACACCACTGGGGGAGTGTGCTGTGCCCTGCACCCTCTGTGCGGAGGGGCCCCAGACAGGAAAGGCCCCCATTCTTTCTAGCTCTCCTCATCAGTCCTATATGATGCACTGGTCTTGTGCAAAATTATGTTCAGTGGCTCTTCTGCTGACCCCGCCACGGGACTTCTGCTCAGGTGGACAGGCAGGAGCCGCAGGAGGGCTGTGTGGAGGCCGGAGCCTTCCACCCCGTGACCCTTCAGTCCACCGGGGTGTCTGCAGTCCAACCCATCTCCAACTCTCCCTCGAACACACTCCCGATCGCCGGCTCTGTCCTGTTTCACCAGCACTACTACTGACTCGGCCAAACCAGTCTCAGTTAAAGTGGACTCTCCAGCCCTGGCTGGTTTGGCTCAGCAGTTAGAGCGTCGGCCCGCAGACCAACGAGTCGCGGGTTCAGTTCCGGTCAAGGGCACGGACCTCGGATGCAATTCATCCCTGGCCCTGGTTGCAGTCGAATGCGAGGCAACCACTCAAAGTGTCCCTGTCATGTCGATGTTTCTCTCTCTCTCTCCCCCTCTCCCTCCCTCCCACTCTATCTGAACAAAAATGGAGAAATATCCTCAGGTGAGGATAAAAAACTGAAGTGCACTCTCCATGCGCCACACCTCCGAGTGAGCGGCGAAACGTGGCCGGGGTGGAAACAAGGTGCCTGCTTCCCTTTGAACGAAACCTGAACTCAAAGGCCTTAGCGCTGCCGCCGCCTGCACCAGAGGCCCCGACCAGGCACCGTCTGAGGGTTCAGCACACTTCGGGCCTCACCACACGGGAAGTGTGCGCTGACCAGGCAGAACCTGTCCGAGCTGCGACCGGCTTCCTCCGTTATTTTCTGAACGTACCGGCTTGGACGGGCCGAGAATCCGCGCAGCTATTCCTTTGCCTTCATTGGTACATTCTTCGCCATCTTTTTTCAAAGGGGTTCCCTATTTAGAAAGGAAATAAAAGAAAAAGAAAGTAACTGAGACTTAACAGAAACCCCAAAGCAGAAACAAAACAAAAGCACCCCACCCACAGGCACGGGTCACTGGGGCGCACTTTTCCTTCACTGCACTTCAAAGAGGGCGCAGTTCTACACGGAGGGTAAGACGTCCACCCACAGAAAGATCCTGACTCACTTTCCCGGGGTGCCCCTTCACGAGGGGTCTGCAACCCCGCCCACAGTGCCCTGGGTGCTCCTGCGTTACGGTGGGACGGACCTGCCGGCGTTTAGGACTCGGCTCCCGACCCCACGCCCTGGACGCAGGCCTGACATGGCCCTCGAGTCCCTCTGCAGAGGCCCACGTGCAGGACCACTCAGAACCACACCAGACGCACACGAGGAAGACAGAGCAGGACAAAGCATGTTTGATTTCCCTGCACAACAGGTGCGACCGGAAACAGACTTCCAATGCGGCACAGATAGCATGTGTGTACTCAGAGAATCACGCTGAAACCAGGTGACGAAACTGCTCTCCATTCGCAGGAGGGTGACAGTGTACACTGTGCAAGGGCAAGGGGGCCTCACCCTCACTGAAGGCTGCTGCGCCTAACAGGCCAGAATGAGCTGACAGACCGTCACACTGCGTCACCCTAGCAGGGGTGTCCTTGAACGGGTGGAAGCTGAGGCCCACGAAGGTCCCAGTGTCCCTCCCCCCACCGCGCCCTACGCAGCCCCTTCCAGACTGAGCAGGGCCGGCCTGGGGACAGCAGGACGCCCCAGAGACGGTGCATCGGCCCCTGAGGCTGCGCCCTAGCATACAGCAGACTCCATTCTCTCCTCCTGGGCTGTCTGCGCTGCGCACCAGCTGCCGTGTCCCAGCGCTCAGCCAGCCTGTGGAGCCCTCACAGTGGGGGGCCAACACCCCCCTTGCCAGGCATGGAAGGGAGACGCTCGGAGCCTCGTCTGGAGCCGAGCCCTCCGGTGACTGCACCTCACGGGGCCCTGAGCCAGAACCAAGCTAAGCCTCTCCCAGGTCCCGGATTCACAGCAACTGCAAGAGGGGATGTTCACTGCTTTAGTCCACCAGGCTGTGGGGCATCACCCGGCAGCACAAGCCCCTCTCTGAAACAGTTTGCAAAGACGTTTAGAAACACTGGCTGATATGAAACAAGCTTCGTTCTGACAGGACTTCTCGGAGCCTGTCTCTGCAGCGGGTTCCCCAGGACGGAGACCCTGCAGGACTCCTTACAGGACTTCTCGGAGCCTGTCTCTGCAGCGGCTTCCCCAGGACGGAGACCCTGCGGGTCCCACACACGTAACTGAGACTGAGGACGACTGCGGACTGAAGAGATGCCTTTCGCTAACGTGAATCATGCTTCTAAAACACTTGGGAAAACAGAACAGCAAAATTATCCTCTTTCCTGTTTGGCTTTGTCTTCTGTACATTTTATATAAATATTTTAATGTAGTTTATATGTAAACTTTCAATATAGGAATTAAGTTGCTGACATAATAACATTCATTTTCTTTGCAGAAGCCTCATAAATCGGCATTTTCTTTAAATATCATAACTATCTCTCCAAACAGGACATACAAATGGCCAACAGACATATGAAAAGATGCTCAACATCACTAATCATCAGAGAGATGCACATTAAAACAACAATGAGGTATCACCTCACACCTGTCAGAATGGCCGCCATCAACAAATCATCAAACAACAAGTGCTGGCGAGGGTGTGGAGAAAAGGGGACTCTAGTGCACTGCTGGTGGGAATGCAGACTGGTGCAGCCACTGTGGAAACAATATGGTGTTTTCTCAAAAAATTAAAAATTGATCTGCCATTTGACCCAGTGATCCCACTTCTAGGAATATACCCTAAGAACCCTGAAACACCAATCTGAAAGAATATATGCACCCCCATGTTTGTAGCAGCACTATTTACAATAGCTAAGATCTGGAAACAGCCCAGTGTCCATCAGTAGACGAATGGATAAAAAAGCTGTGGTACATGTACACAATGGAGTACTATGCAGCTGTAAGAAAGAAAGATCTCTTATCCTTTGAGATGACATGGAGGGACCTGGAGAGTATCATCCTGAGTGAAACAAGCCAAGCAGAGAAAGACAAGTATCATACGATCTCACTTATTTGTGGAATATAATGAACTAAACAAACTGATGAACAATAAGAGACCCAGAAGACATAGAGGAGGGTACAGACTGACAAACCTCAGAAGGGGAGGAAGGGAAGGGATAAACCACAGAACTTATATGCATATGTGCATAACCGATGGACACAGACAACAAAGCTGGGGTTGGGGGGTGGGGTGTCAATGGGGAAAAAAGGAGAAACATCTGTAACAAAAATAAAGTAATAAGAAAAGTAAGTAAATAAATAAACATCCTAACTGTGCTGACTTTCCATTCAACCACAGGACCCCAACCCGCCCTAAGATGCTCACGGGGAAAACTCCGTTCACGCGGCTGGGCTTCCCTTTGGGGTACGGGTTCCCTGGGATTGTCCCGCAGGAAGATATCATAGCGTGAGGAGCCTTGCAGCCTCCCTTGAAAGCCTGCAACATAAGAAAAGACAGAGTGGTAAAAAAATCAAATAAACTCATGAAGTTAAATACCCTGGCTTTTGTTGAAAAACAAGAATTAAGGAACAGCAGCACATTCGATCTGTTTGTATTGATCAGCACTTACCGTGGTAAACATACCAAAATTAATAAATAAAAACCACTTTATTTAAATCGAACTATGAAAATGGTAACAATGTTTTTGTCACAACCAACAGATTCCTATATAAAGATATCTTCCCAATGTATTTTGTAAACTGTGTGCATTTTTTAAAGCCCACTGCTATTGAATATGTCCCATTTCTCCAATGACCGAGAGATGACTGTCCAACTCTGCAGTCACCAGCCTCGTGCTACAGAACGCACGGACATCACTAGATGAGACATGCCTCCGTCCTGAAGAAACCGGTAACTCAGAGGAAACACAACACACAACACGCACGTGGGGCCACAGAGCTGTGAGGTCAGACGCAGGTCTTTGGGGTGAGGAGTGTTCAATATGTTACATAACTTTGAGGTACACCAAGGGGTGGGATTTTGGTCTAGTTTGTTTAATTTTATCCTCAGCTTCTAAAATGGTGCCAAAACATACTGAGTTACTACCCAATAAGTACTTATTAAGTAGGTAAAGCACAGTCCATTAGGTCTCATATGTGACAGCAGATCTGCACCGCATCAGAGGAGGCCCACTTCTGCACCAACAGGCACGTGCAGGAATGTGCACCCATGTGCTGGGCTGCATCAGAGGAGGCCCACTTCTGCACCAACAGGCACGTGCAGGAATGTGCACCCACGTGCTGGGCTGCATCAGAGGAGGCCCACTTCTGCACCAACAGGCACGTGCAGGAATGTGCACCCACGTGCTGGGCTGCATCAGAGGAGGCCCACTTCTGCACCAACAGGCACGTGCGGGAATGTGCACCCACGTGCTGGGCTGCATGAGAGGAGGCCCACTTCTGCACCAACAGGCACGTGCGGGAATGTGCACCCACGTGCTGGGCTGCATGAGAGGAGGCCCACTTCCGCACCAACAGGCACGTGCAGGAATGTGCACCCACGTGCTGGGCTGCATGAGAGGAGGCCCACTTCTGCACCAACAGGCACGTGCAGGAATGTGCACCCACGTGCTGGGCTGCATCAGAGGAGGCCCACTTCCGCACCAACAGGCACGTGCAGGAATGTGCACCCACGTGCTGGGCTGCATCAGAGGAGGCCCACTTCCGCACCAACAGGCACGTGCAGGAATGTGCACCCACGTGCTGGGCTGCATCAGAGGAGGCCCACTTCCGCACCAACAGGCACGTGCAGGAATGTGCACCCACGTGCTGGGCTGCAGCGGCACACCAGTTTCACAGCCTCATTCATAGAACATGAACTAAGCTGTGCAGTCCACTATCAAACCCCACCCCAAAACACATCATCTCAATTTGGGGGCATTATAAATAGTCACAGGGTAAACGCCCTTACATATTAATTTGTACATTTCTATTCATTTACTTAGAATAAATTCCCAGGTAGCATTTTTGGGTCAAAAGGTATGAACATTTTATTATTATTATTTTTTTTTAACCCTCACCCAAGGATATTTTTCAACTTATCATCAGACAGAATGGGAGGGAGAGAGGGGGAGAGACACATCGATTGGCCGCCTCCCACACGACCCGACCAGGGCTGGGGACGCACTGCACCCGAGGTACGCGCCCTTGCCCAGAACTGAACGCGAGGCTCACTGGTCCGCGGGCTGACGCTCTAACCGCTGAGCCACACCGGCCAGGGCAGGTATGAACATTTAAAGGCTCTTGAAGTTTGCCTTTGACTATTCCACAGAACACTCAGACTCAGAGTATTTCTAAGAAAGGAACAGACATGATCAGAATGTGTTATTAGGAAAAACTACAGCAGAACACGCTCGATGCCTTGAAGAACTCAGTAAGAAAATCAGTGAGGAAGGTACGAAAGGACGGGAACGTGGCTCACGAAGAGGCCTCCTGAGTCCCGGCCGTCAGACGGGGACGGGCTGAGTGGACGGAGACGAGGTCCGGCAGTCCTGAGGCCACGAGGACTCCCTCACCCGCTCGGAGCCCAGCGCTGGGCAGCAGCCGGAGGCTCGACGCGCAGGGGGACGGGCTGTCCGGTGTCAGGGCGAGAACTGAGGGCCGCTCTCTGTGGGACACCAGGGCTGGCCGAGCACTGCTCCTTCTCTGAGACCCCCGGCCAGGGCTGGCAGGCGGCCCCACGTCGGAGTCTCCCTCAGCCTGGCTCACACTGTCCCCCTGACCTGGCGATGCGCAGACCCACGCCATACAAATGGCTGTCTCGGTTCCTTCTTCAGATCTCCCGAAACCTCTCCAGCGCGCAGCACCTGGCCTCTGCGTGTGCCACACCTCTTGCTACCTGGCCCTGGTTCCCAGCACGGCCGCTTCGGGCACCTGCAGCCCAGCCCGCAGCAGCCACCTGCAGGTCACGGCGCACCTGGGGCGGGGCGGACCCAGGCCGGGCTTTGGCGCACGCTGCCCTTCCTGGGGGGAAGACACTTTCAGACCAGGTCACAGCCCTACCACCTGCACGGGCAGCACACTCGAGAGGCGGACCCAGGCCGGGCTTTGGCGGACGCTGCCCTTCCTGGGGGGAAGACACTTTCAGACCAGGTCACAGCCCTACCACCTGCACGGGCAGCACACTCGAGAGGCGGACCCAGCAGGGGCTTTGGCGGACGCTGCCCTTCCTGGGGGGAAGACACTTTCAGACCAGGTCACAGCCCTACCACCTGCACGGGCAGCACACTCGAGAGGTGGACACAGCAGGCACCAGAGCCCACCACGCAGGTCCTGCCCACTGGGCGGCTCCTCCACCACAGTCGCAACCGGTCCTCAGCCAGCCTGCCCGGGGGACCAACCCCTCCCCTCCCAGTGACACCAACAGCAATCATGGCTCAACTACGGCAGGACAGTGCACCCGGCCCACGGGGGCACCTGGACCACCCAGGTCCCGTGACGGGAGGCTGTGCCACAGGCCTGCAGCACACCGACCACCAAAGGCCACTCCATCAAGTCCAGAGGACACAGCAGCTCTACCTCATACCAGAAACAAACAAAGACAAAAAGAAACCGATTGCAAATGAAAAAACAGAAGAAATTTAAAAAGAACGAAATGAAATGGAGGAAGGCAAACCACCAGACACAGAGTTCAAACAATGCTTATAAGAATGCTCAAGGAACTTAGAGAGAATTTCAACATAATAAAAAGCACATAGAAACCATAAAAAAAGGAGTAGTTAGAAATGAAGGATACACTAACTGAAATAAAGAATAATTTACAGGGAATCAACAGTATAGGAGAAGAGCCAAGAATCAAATCAGCAATTTGGAACACAAGGAAACAGAAAACACCTAATCAGACAGAAAACAATCCCCAAACGTGCCTCCGGGGTGAAGTGGGGCAGCAAGAAGCCGAGAAACGACTCGGCAAGTGGGAACGGCCGAACCAAACAGCCGGCAGTCACAGCAGACAGACGGCCACCTCCCTCCAAGCACCTCCCGGCCGCAGCTGTATTTCAGATCCAGGCCCAAAAAGCAGCAAAGCCAGGGGGGCACTGCCCGGACCAGCTGCCACGACAAACGGAGACACCATGACCTGCAAGGACACACCTGGAGGTTCTACTGAGATCTTCCCGAAGACCTCCCTGAACTCCCAGCCTTGAAAACCCGCCAAATGGCCCTGGTCAGTTTGGCTCAGCGGTTAGTGTTGGCCTGCAGACCAAAGAGTCACGGGTTCGATTCCTGTCAAGGGCACGTACCTTGGTTGTGGTTCTGTGCCCAGTCCTGGGTCATGCAGAAGGCAGCCAATCAATGTTTCCCTCTTACGCTGAGGTCTCCCTGTCTCTCTCTCTCCCTCCTCCCACCCCTGCACTCTATCTGAAAATAAACACAAAAATATCCTCGGGTGAGAATGACGCTCTCCCTTCAGGAGCACATCGGACCTTTCCCCTCTTCTCTCTCCTTCCCCCACAGGCATGCGTCTCCCAAACTCCAAGGAACCCCACAAGACTTCAAACCAGGGGAGCAATGCAGTGGCAGCTCATCCCGGGGAAACCCCCCGAACCTGTCTCCAAGACCCCCCTTCTCTGACCTTCCAGTGAGCTGCCGGCAGCCCCACCTCAGCTCATTTCTCTTTGTACCGTTTCCAGGGAGCCAGAGCAGCCCCTCCAGGGCCTCCAGCTGCTGCTTCGATCCCAGGCCCTTCCTTCTTTCACTGTCCCCGACTTTAATAAACGTCCTCTCAGATCACCTGCATGAGGTCGAGAACCCACACTGACAGCTGGCCTAGGCACACCCACTCTAGCTGGTCCCCTCTCCGGTAACAATGTAAGGAGCCTCTGGGACAATGTCGAGTGTATCAACCTTTGCATCTCGGAGGTGTTGAAAGGAAAAGGAGAGCAAGAAATTGAAAAACTATTTGAAAAAATGACAGAAAACTCCCCTAACTTGGTGAAGGAAATAGACATACAAGTCCAGGACGCACAAAGAGTCCCAAACAAGATGGACCCCAAGAGCCCACATCAAGACACATCACCTTCAAAATGCAAAAGGTTAAAGACAAAGACAGAATTTTGAAAGCAGCAAGAGAAAAGCAGTTAGTTACCTGTAAGGGAGCTCCCATAAGACTGTCAGCTGATTTCATGAAATAAATTTTGCAGGCCAGAAGGGAGTGGCAAGAAATATTCAAAGTGATGAAAACCAAGAACCTACAGTAAAACCTCAATATAATGGACTAATTCAGGCGAGGGAGTGTCTGTTAAAGCTAAAAGTCCCACCCTGGCTGGTCTGGCTCAGCGGTTAGAGCGTGGGCCCATAGACCAGAGAGTCCCAGGTTCGGTTCCTGCCAAGGGCACGTACCTCAGTTGCAGTTCGTCCCCAGCCCTAGTTGGGGTTGTGTGGGTGGCAACCACTCAATGTGTCTCTCTCACATCAATGTTTTTCTCTCTCTCTCTTCGTCTCTCTCTATCTGAAGATGCAAAAATGTCCTCACATGAGGATTTAAAAAAAAAAGCTAAAAGTCCCTTCATAATGTTTTCCAAATACATGTTAAAAAATTGACAAATTGGTTAATTTACCTGTTTTTACTTATGAGACACATTTGTGTAATTAAAACAAAGTATGCATAAAAAGTTTAAACTCACAGAAAAGTTTTCTATATGTGTTACAGTAATTTTAAATTTATACTGAACAGGTCTGGTAAGTGCACTCACCAGTCACTGCGAGTAAACAAACGCACGTGGCTGGGGCATGGCTCAGCAAACAGGGGAACACTAGCCAGCACATTAAAACTGCTGGGGGGAGTCATGCCACCTGACTGCAGAACCAACTGCCAGGTCATGTGATGAGGTGTGATCACATGCTAATAATTCACCAAACACTGTTTACGAGCAGTGACTACTGGATTTAAATATATAGACTATCGTTGTGGATATGTAATATTTATTTATGTCGGTGAAATTATCACAGTATTTTTCTAACATGTACCCTATTTGCTAAAATTTGCTTAAAATAACAGTAAATCAATAACAAAAAATAACCTGTTAATTTAATTTTAAGCAAATCTTGGTTAACAGCATTCTAAAATTAATAGGGTGTTAATTTTCACATACGACATTCAGACCGGAAATTTTGTCCATTAAATCTAGGTCCGTAAAATGGAGTTTACTGTATAACCAGGATTAGTCTACCCCGCAAAGCTACCATTTAAAATAGGAGGACATATAAAGAGCTTCCCAGACAAGAAATAAAAGGCTAAAGGTGTTAATCACCACCAAACTGGTATTACATGAAATATTAAAGGGTCTTCTTTAAATGGAGATAAAAAAGTTTAAAAATATGAACAAAATGACAATAAATATATATGTATCAACAACTGAATCTAAAAAACAAACGAAGAAGCAGAACAGACAGACGAATAGAAACAGAACATTACGACAGGTGCGATGGAAGGGATGTCGGATGGGTGGGAAGGTGAAGGGTTGAAAGTACAGATTGGGTATCACAGAACAGTCATGTGGACGTCAAGGTCAGAGGAGGGAACAGTCAACAATATTCTAATAACGATGTACGGGTCAGATGGGTATGAGACTGATCAGGATGATGGATTAGTAAATTACATAATGTCTCACCACCGGGGTATACACCTGAAAGTAATATAATACTGCATGTCAACTGTAATTGGAAAATAAAAAATTGTTTTTAAAAACGCGGGCTTAGATACCGCTTCTGCGCCAGGGTCTGGACCAAGGTAAGGTTCTGCGCTGAGTGAGGTGTGAGGACGAAGCGCGACTGGGCGGCGAGGCCCCGTCTTCCTCGAGCAGGTTTCTAGCGACCAATTCAGGGTCCAGCCAGCAGAGTCCTAAGAATCACTACCTTCAAAGACAAATCATTTTCTAGCCTTGGGCACATACCACTTCTCCCACTCTTAGAGATTTTAAATTAATAAACTGGGATTTTGCTTTATTATTCATCCCTATGAAGTTGATTAATTTAAGGTTAATGACAAAGAAAATTCAAAAACTCAAGTTCCTAAATACATAAAATTAAAGACAACAGCCTGGAGCAGGGCAAAGCTACCAAGGGACAGAGAATAAATAGCCAGGAGGCTCATTTCCAAGCCTTCCTCCCCCTCCAGTGTCGCACAGCTCGCTCAGCCCACTGCCCGCAGGAGCTCGTCCTGGCCCATCGCGAGGATGCAGTGACGGGGGGACTAGATCAGCACTCAGCTCGCTCAGCACACTGCCTGCAGGAGCTCGTCCTGGCCCATCGCGAGGCAGCAGTGACGGGGACTAGATCAGCACTCAGCTCGCTCAGCCCACTGCCTGCAGGAGCTCGTCCTGGCCCATCGCGAGGATGCAGTGACGGGGGGACTAGATCAGCACTCAGCTCGCTCAGCACACTGCCTGCAGGAGCTCGTCCTGGCCCATCGCGAGGCAGCAGTGACGGGGACTAGATCAGCACTCAGCTCGCTCACCCACTGCCTGCAGGAGCTCGTCCTGGCCCATCGCGAGGATGCAGTGACGGGGACTAGATCAGCACTCAGCTCGCTCACCCACTGCCTGCAGGAGCTCGTCCTGGCCCATCGCGAGGATGCAGTGACGGGGGGACTAGATCAGCACTCAGCTCGCTCACCCACTGCCTGCAGGAGCTCGTCCTGGCCCATCGCGAGGCAGCAGTGACGGGGACTAGATCAGCACTCAGCTCGCTCACCCACTGCCTGCAGGAGCTCGTCCTGGCCCATCGCGAGGATGCAGTGACGGGGGGACTAGATCAGCACTCAGCTCGCTCAGCACACTGCCTGCAGGAGCTCGTCCTGGCCCATCGCGAGGATGCAGTGACGGGGACTAGATCAGCACTCAGCTCGCTCAGCCCACTGCCTGCAGGAGCTCGTCCTGGCCCATCGCGAGGATGCAGTGACGGGGACTAGATCAGCACTCAGCTCGCTCAGCCCACTGCCTGCAGGAGCTCGTCCTGGCCCATCGCGAGGATGCAGTGACGGGGGGACTAGATCAGCACTCAGCTCGCTCACCCACTGCCTGCAGGAGCTCGTCCTGGCCCATCGCGAGGATGCAGTGACGGGGGGACTAGATCAGCACTCAGCTCGCTCAGCACACTGCCTGCAGGAGCTCGTCCTGGCCCATCGCGAGGATGCAGTGACGGGGACTAGATCAGCACTCAGCTCGCTCAGCCCACTGCCTGCAGGAGCTCGTCCTGGCCCATCGCGAGGATGCAGTGACGGGGGGACTAGATCAGCACTCAGCTCGCTCAGCCCACTGCCTGCAGGAGCTCGTCCTGGCCCATCGCGAGGATGCAGTGACGGGGGGACTAGATCGGCACTCAGCTCGCTCAGCCCACTGCCTGCAGGAGCTCGTCCTGGCCCATCGCGAGGATGCAGTGAGGGGGACTAGATCAGCACTCAGCTCGCTCACCCACTGCCTGCAGGAGCTCGTCCTGGCCCATCGCGAGGATGCAGTGACGGGGGGACTAGATCAGCACTCAGCTCGCTCAGCCCACTGCCTGCAGGAGCTCGTCCTGGCCCATCGCGAGGATGCAGTGACGGGGACTAGATCAGCACTCAGCTCGCTCACCCACTGCCTGCAGGAGCTCGTCCTGGCCCATCGCGAGGATGCAGTGACGGGGACTAGATCAGCACTCAGCTCGCTCACCCACTGCCTGCAGGAGCTCGTCCTGGCCCATCGCGAGGATGCAGTGACGGGGACTAGATCAGCACTCAGCTCGCTCACCCCACTGCCTGCAGGAGCTCGTCCTGGCCCATCGCGAGGCAGCAGTGACGGGGACTAGATCAGCACTCAGCTCGCTCAGCCCACTGCCTGCAGGAGCTCGTCCTGGCCCATCGCGAGGATGCAGTGACGGGGACTAGATCAGCACTCAGCTCGCTCACCCCACTGCCCGCAGGAGCTCGTCCTGGCCCATCGCGAGGCAGCAGTGACGGGGACTAGATCAGCACTCTTCCTCATCAACACTGAGAAAACCGAAGCTCTGTTTACAAAGCCACCATGAGATAGTTACCTGTTCAAGTACTCTCTTGCACCGTTTCTTCTCAGACATATTTATCCTGAATAAATCTTCAATGGGACGAGAATTCTGTGCATCAACAATGTTTCTACAAAACAAATACAACTTAGCTTTTCATTTAAGAACCTGGAAACATGCAGAGGCAACAACCACTGTTTACCACACAAGTATATCTGCCTGACTCTTCCCATGACTGAGCAGGGAGAAGCTGTGACTGACTGATTGGTGAGTATAAACACTGAGGTGTATCTGGTTACTTCAAAGTAACAATGTAATATTATAAATGAAATTCACCGTTTTGAGATTCCTGAAAATATACCCTCTCAGTGAGTGAGTGTTAGAAAAGCTATGTCACCCTGGCCAGTTTGGCTCAGCGGTTAGAGCGTCGGCCTGTGGTCCAGAGAGACCCGGGTTCGGTTCCCGGTAAGGGCATGTACCTCGGTTGCGGTTTGACCCCGGCCTTGGTTGGCTGTGTGGGTGGCAGCCACTCGATGTGTCCCTTTCACGTCGATGTTTCTCTCTCTCTCTCTCTCTCTCTCTCTCTCTCCCCCTCCCACTCTATCGGAACAAAAAATGGAAAAATGTCCTCGGGTGAGGATAAAAAAAAAAAGAAAAAGAAAAGCTACGTCAATAAAACACCTGTGTTAAATGCATCAAAATCACAAGTGGTCCAGGGATGAAGCTGTGCCTTACGCTAAATGGTTTGTGGACATCTACACATAAATAAGGGACTCGGAAATGCAAGCGCTGTAAGTAAATCACACCCTGCAGACTTCTTCCCCTGCAGAAGGGGAGGCCTGTCCCTAAGCACATGCGTGATGACCGCTTATTAAACGCTCGCTAGGTCCTCCTGCCTATATCAGTGTGTGAAGTTCACACACCGTTACATAAGCGAATCCTTATTCTCACAACTGAGGAAAATAAGGTGCAGAAGAATAAGTACATATAAAGCCCCCCGCTCAAAAAAAAACCGTTGTCAGAATGTGACAGAATCTATCTACCTATAAACCCTATGACTTTATCAACAGGCCTTTCAAGTTATCCAGAGTAGAGAGGCAAAGCAAGTCATTAATATACAGGCAAATCAAAACAAATCATTAAACTTGATAAGCCCATTATTTGGTAAGTTATACTCATGGATGGTGAGTAGACTGGACATTTTGATGTAAGAATTCAGCTTTATGCCTTCATAGATTTTATTAGCGTTCCGTTTACTAGTGTCATTGTGGTACATGACCAGACACGAGTTAAAAGACACTCAAACAGTCTCGCAGAGCCCTCCCGGGGTCGAGACACTCACGAGGCCAGCAGCTCCAGAGCGGTGAGCTTGTCCTTGCTGAAGGTGAAGCAGCTGAGGATGTTGACCACCTCCGCGGGGTGAACAGCCACCATTTTCTAGTAATAGAAACAATAATCTTAATTTCAACACGAGACATTTTCAAGGAAGAAATTGTCATCTGGGGGAATGAACAGTGAATGTCCATAACAAATATTCGAGGTGAAAACTTCTCTAAAGCAAGCCTTGGCCCTTGAGGCTGAGGCAGGAAACACACCGTCGTTGGAAAGAAGCAGCACTAAAGCACCCAGACACCTTCTTAGGCAGATGAGTTTAGGAAGTCAAGGCTGCAGACTCCCTTAGCTACCCATGCCCATCACTCTACAAAAAGTTCCCCGTGCAGCCAGATACTGTCCAGTTCAGATGCCTGTTAATTCAGGCTCTAGAACCGTGGGGCCCAGAGTAGCCATTAGGCTTCTGTGCCTGTTTGGATAAAACAAAAAGCAGAGTTTTCAGGTAGCCTGGACATATGTTACATGCTCAAAGCCACATGTAGCCAGTTGTTTTCATACTAGACAGTGCAGTTATAAAACATTTCTACCATCACTAAAAGTTCATTTGGACAGTGTTGGTCCAAAGACTAAGTTTAAATCCATCTGAGTAGAAAAGGGTGGTGGCATCCAAAATCAGAAGAAAGTGCCTAAAAATACTTAGAAATTCAAATCCTATGTTTTGCTTACCTATAAATATTGTCTCCTCTAATCTGCCAATTAAGACCCTATAGTATTTAATCTTAGAATAATGGGGTACAATTTATTTACTTATTTTTTTAAAGGCCCAGGAATTTATTTTTTTATTCTCACCCGAGGACATTTTTCCATTTTTTGTTCAGATAGAGTGGGAGGGAGAGAGAGAGAGAGAGAAACATCGACATGAAAGGGACACATCGAGTGGCTGCCACCCGCACGACCAACCAGGGCCGGGGACAAACTGCAACCGAGGGACATGCCCTTAGCGGGAACCGAACCCGGCTCTCTCTGGACCGCAGGCCGACGCTCTAACCGCTGAGCCAAACCGGCCAGGGCAATGGGGTACAATGTAATAGCACAGATACATAATTTAAATTTACACTTTAAGAAGTTTTAATTTTGTAACAGTTATTTTGAATAATCAAAGTATATTAAAACTTAGGGTCAATTTTTAAAAAGCGAACAGATTACAACTTGACACGAATCATAGAAAACTAGGGGGGATTCAGAACACATTCTAAGCCTTAGGCCAAGGCCACAAGCTACTCACGTGCTGTAATGCTTTCATTGCCTTCAACTGAGGCTCCGCCCAGGAGAAGTATCTCAGTAAATCCACCACCTGGAAACAAAGAAGTAATTTAGTTTCAAGGACAATGTGTCTGCAAGGTGTATCTCAGCTCCGGGATTCTGAACGACATCGACTCCTGCCTGTGCCAGAGGATGGGGTGAGCACGGCACTGGGGTGCAGGCTGTCAGCAGTGTAGACACGGGTAGCTACTCAAGTTAAAACAAACCGAAATAAAACTCAGTTCCTGCATGTGGCTCAGTGGACTGAGCGCTGTCCCATGGACTGAGTGGTCCCGGTTAGATTTCCGGTCAGGGCAATACCCAGGTTTTGGGCTCAATCCCCAATAGGAGTGCAGGAGGCAACCAAAGGATGTATCTCTCTCACATAGACGTTTCTATCTCTCTCCCTAAGAAATAAATAAAAACATTAAAAAAAAATAACAACTCAGTTCCTTATTGGCACAAGCCACATTATCAAGTGCTCAAAAACCACAAGCAGTTGTTAACTACCACTGACAGAACACTTCCATCATCAGAGTCTTGAACAGCACTGTTTAGAAATAAAGAACAGTGTAAGACATAGAAAAAAGAAAGGACACAAAGAAAAGGAAACTTGGAAAAGTACTAGATGGAGAAAAAAGGTTAGTTTAAGGGTAAAAAGATCTATTATGAATAGAAACTAAAAGTTCCGTGGAGAGGGACAGTTTGAATCAATCACAACGCATAGGTCCACCAACCTCCACTCTGCTACTTGAATCTGCAGGCCTAGCACTCAGATTTACACCGCAGATCTATTCCCTAAAAATTTAAGAATCACTGTGAATTACTCCGGCAGCTTCTAAATGGCAGGCCATTTGGAGAACACAGACAGCCAGGCTCTCTGTCCCACCACGACCACCGACGAACTTCAAGCACACGAGACACTGTGACAGCTCGTGAGAGGTGAGCAGGGCATCAATCACAACGTTACAGTCTCCGTATGGTCAGCTGGGAAAATGCCTCCGAGACACTTGGTTGCAGGGGGACCTCAAGAAGAGAGGGTAATAAAATCTAAATCTGGGTTAATGAATTACATTTTCTGTAAGTTCCTGAACATGTATTAAGGTCACAATTCTTCTACAAAGCTAGGCTAATGCTAGACACCAACGTGGTATGTGTAGAAGAATAAAAAATATTTTTTACTCTTTATATAGATACAAAAATAGCAAATAAGTATTATGTATACTTTCTAGGTAATTTGTTAAGAGTGTATTATATGTCCTTAGTTACAGGAATGTTTCTACTATATAGTAAATGCTACCTGGCATTTTACCAGCCACAAACCTTTACATACCATGTCTGATACAGGAGGAAAAGTCTTCACTATATAAAGTAGGCTTAGAAGCCACACCCTTTGAAAACAGCTTAATAAAGTTGTTGTTGTTTTTAATTCTCACCCGAGGACACTTTTTTTTGTTTTTTTGTTCAGATAGAGTGGGAGGGAGAGAGAGGAAGAGAGAGAGAGAGAGAATCATCGACGTGAAAGTGTCACATCGAGTGGTTGCCACCTGCACAACCAACGAGGGCCGGGGACAAACTGCAACCAAGGCACATGCCCTTAGCGGGAACTGAACCTGGGTCTCTCTGGATCGCAGGCCGATGCTCCAACAACTGAGCCAAACCGGCCAGGGCAATAAAGTTTTTAATTACTTTAGCAAATAACCACTAACAGAAGTTTTGTATCAAGTTTCATATATGCACACACACACACACACACACACACACGGAAAGAAAAGCTATTCCCTATTAGAAATTATAAATCTTTTCAAAACATTTAAATTTCTAAAAAGCACTGAGTGATTCTGAACAGTAATGTCTGCAAACACGGGTTAAACAGGCAGCCACACGTGTGAGTTACAAGCAGCCTCTCTGAGTTTGGTGGCTTAATTTCCACAGGCTCAGGCTTCAAGCTACATGCTCTGAACATCTTGAGAAACAGGTGAAAAGTTGGAGCACTCACTAATGAAATCTATAGATTCATATACTGTCTACCCTTTCCTAGAACTGTTCTCCACATGTACATTTCTATTTTTTGCCCTATTTTTCTATCACATATTTTCTAAATGTCCCACAGAAATCTGGCTTTTCAGTGCACATGTGTGTATATACACGTATGCATTTTTTTTAAATTAGCGAACTCTCCCTAAAGTTAGGTGAAACACTTTCACTGAACTACCACTGGTCTTCTTGCCATTACAGAGACTGCTCACTAGGCATTGTATTATTTTTTACTTACTGATAAAACTTTTACTTAGTGGCTTCATATAAGAAAACATTTCACCATTTATTCAAGTTTTCTTTTATAATGTGTAGTGAATTTTGCAATTATTGACATAAATACTACACAAATTTGAGTACATTTACCACTAGAAGTTTACAAATATATGTATGATAGTGTGCCCAGAATGACAAACACTTTGAACTGCTTTTTTTAAACACTGCATTTTAAAATTATGTTAGCGTATGAAATCGTGGTGAAAGAGGGTACGTTTATAAAATACCACACTATAAATTCTACAGTTTCTACTAAAACTCAAAGTTTCTAAAGTTGCTCAATAAATGTAGCAACAATGTAAAAGCAACTCTGACCTTGACCAGCAGGTAAATAAGACATTAACCATAACATCATGTTAAAAAAAAAGAAGAAAAAAAAAAAAGAGACTTTAAACAAATAGAAGAATACCTTACCTGTTCACTAGAAAAATAACCATGCACATATTCAATTGCTTTTAATTTGTACTCTGTCAAAACAGCCTAAAAAACACAGAAAAGCAGCGTTAATATACGTCAACAGTACAGTAATACGCGTACAGCAACAATGTGTAAGCAACTCAAACAGTGGACGGTCTCCAGTCCAGCCTGCAGGGGCAGCTAAGACACTGCGGTGACTTGACATTCTACCTTTCCAGGTTCCGTGCTGCACGATACACTGAGACAGCAGGAAAACTTTCTGGGCTTCCCTACTCTTACAAAAAAAGAACTGTAATAGATAGGATTTGACATTAATAGAAACTATATGTAGAACTTATGTAAATGTAATTAGAGTTTCAAAACATCCCAAATTCAACCAAGCTGTCATTTTTACGAAGATTAAACGTATCAGACATTACCTGCCTGTCAATTATTTACTCAGCACCTACTACGTCAATGCCCTCAGTGTTTCTATAGGGATATGAGAACCCAAGGAGCTAGGAGGTTCTGAATTCAATCTATGCACCTGCACAAACTGGCAGTGTGGCCGTTGAGGGGAATCTTAGTGACCCTGAGCACGTCCTTAGCCATAAAAGGGTACACCATTCACTGCCCAACTCAGTTATGATTAAAATAGTCAATAATAGATCTGACATGTAATAGGTATTCAGTAAAGGACGGTTCCTCTCCTCACGTGGCATCTACCAGTGGAATGCAGAGACAAGCCCGGTGGCCTTGGCCAGCATTATCAGAGCTGACTGAAATCAGGTGTGCTCTCCTTCCGATTATTTGCAGAGCTCATAGACGGAAACAGCGGACTACCATAACTTGGTACTACTTAACATTAAAAATAAACAAATCCTTTTGCTTTTACTATAAAACAATAGCATTGACACTTTCCACATATCTTTCTGCTAAGAGAAAATATCATGACCAGTCAACTAAGAAAAACATCCAGGGTCCAACTTCCACTGGAAAGGGGGAGGAAGGATATGGCATTCTGGATAGTGTACTCTTGGGAATCTGATCGTTATCATTACTGAATAGTCAAAAGCAAGTTTCTGGACAAAATGCTGGCTTGTGTTCATGTCCAAACAAGCCTCAATTCTCCCCTCGGTGCCCGAGAGGCCTGGCTGCATCCCCAGCACATAGCATGGCACTCGAGTGAGCCTGCCAGTGTGAGTGGTGGGCCCCCACCCCCTTCACCTGGATCCCGGAGCTAACTGGTCAACCTCACGGAGGCTACTCTGCCATCTGTAAGAGGAGTACAGTGCCTGCACTTCATGGACTGTCAGCAGGCTCCAACCCAATAGTGCATGTACAAAGTGCTCAGAACAGGCATACATAGTAAGTACTCAATAATTATGGCTATGATCATGTTCCTCCTTTTCGAAGAGCAAATTCAACAGTGCCTTTCCCCTGTATCTTCCTCCTTCCTAATGTCTTCCTACATGCCTTCACTTTAAATGACAGTAGTGTCTGGCCAGTGTGGCTCAGTGTGGTTGAGTGTCAACTCATGCACCAAGAAGTTACCAGTTCGATTCCCGGTCAGGACACAAGCCCAGGTTGTGGGCCTGATTCCCAGTGGGGGGCATGCAGGAGGCAGCCAATCAATGTTCTCGCTCATCGATGTTTCTCTCTCTCTCTCTCTAAAAAATCAATAAAAAAATTAAAAATTAAAAATAAATGACAGTAGTGACAGCCAGTATTACCTATAGACCTAAGGCAACACTCAGGAAGAGATTACCTGGTTTAAGCTGACTTAACATTTACAAAGTCTAAGAGTAACTTTAAAAAACAAATAGTAATTCTCATGTTTAGATACACCAATATTTTACTCCACTTTAATTGACTAGATGTATCTAATTATTTTGGCATAAATAGCAAGACATTATGATTGCAAAGCAGAAATAACTTAAGTTGCTATCTTGTGTGAACATGATTATCATCTCTGAAAAACTTGCTATTGCCTTCATTAGTATTTACTACGTGAGCTTTTCACAACTTAGAAGGGAGAGAACATGCAAAGTGACACCCTATATATTCCAACAGTAGAAATCTAATGGTCTACCTGAATGCACAAATTATTTTCACATGAACAGTATTTAAATATCAGCTCACAAACTGTGGCAAATTCTAAATACAGAGTTAGCAAGCTGACATTTTATTACAAATCTTAATTGGACAAACTGGGTTTTCAAAAGCAGAAATTTTGTTTAAAAAAAAAAAAAGAAAAAGAAACATTCAGCCCAGCCAGTGTGGCTCAGTGGTTGAGCATCAACCCACACACCAAGAGGTCCTGGTTCGATTCCCAGTAAGGGCACATGCCCAGGTTGTGGACCCGATCCCCAGTGGGGGGCATGCAGGAGGCGGCCAATCGATGTTCTCTCTCATCCATGTTTCTATCTCTCTCTCCCTCTCCCTTCCTCTCTCTCTAAAATCAATAAAAAATATATATTAAAAAAAAAACATTCAATATCATTCAATAAGTAAATTTCGCCTCACATGCAAACTTAAAGAAAAATGTTTCTTAAAGAATGACAAAAAACAACACTTTGCTTTATAGAGAATGAAGAAAAACAGCACACCCACAGGCACTTCAGTTAATAATTTCATAAGCTGAAACAAATAATAAGCGCCCGAGCACAGGGTAACAAATCTTCCCAAGTCAGTCAAGGGTCTTAAACATATGGAAATACGGAGATAACTGCCCGGAAGTTCTCAACAAAGGACCTTCTATTAGCATCAGGATGTTACAGGACGTCCCTGTAGTGCTACATAGCCAAACTCCTATTTGGGGAGAATTATACTCCAGGCTTGAGAGAATTATACTCCCGGCTACATTTCAAAAATCGTTGCTGTCTCATTCATTCTGGGACGTAGGCTACATACAGCGGCCCCGTAGAGCAACAAAAACTTGGGGAGCAGGTGAGAAAAAAAAAAGTGTTGGAGTCCCAATTACTGAAGCCCATTCCTAAGGGTATGACTTGAAACGTCAGGACACACTTCCCACTTAGACACTGATTCTGTCTGGCCCGGGCCACGCGGTGCGCCAGTTCTCCGACTTGGAAAACCAGCCCTAGCAGCATCTCCCATGAAAGAAACAGAAACGTCCTGCACTACGGTCGCCCCTGCATTCAGTGTGTCGTCACCGAACGAGGAGGACACCGGCCCGGCCACGGAAGGACGTCTCCGAAGGCACAGAGCTCCGGGAGGTCTGCAGAGCCGGCGCGGGGCCGCGGGCCGCCTTCCTGCCACCGCTGATTCCGCAGAGGCGGACCGCGTTCCCCTCGTGGCTACTTGTATCGCGAAATGTATCCAGACGCCGGATCCTGCCCCGGCTGCTGCGGGCTGAAAGGTAACACCCGCGCCCGGGGCCACCTGCCGAGCAGCCCCGACAGCGCCGCCCGGAGAGTGCGCGGCTCCCACAGGCGCCGAAGGGGTCCCGGGTGCTCATTACCTTCCTGATCTCGTCCAGCACCATTTCGAAGGACTTTTTGTCCATCTTGACGGCTCTGCCGGCGCGGCCGGCGCGGGGACACGTTCCAGCTGCAGACCGTGCGCCGGGGCGCGGGGCGCGGGGGAAGGATGCGCAGAGGTAGACTCCTCGAAACTCCGGGCGGAAATCCCGTCAGTGGGGGCGCACAGAGTTCGTGTTGCAAAACCAAGAAGAAAGAAGGAAGACCGGCCGGCTGCCCCGGCTGTTCCGCGGGGAGCGCGGGGCTCGTCCCGCAGCTGCAGGCCCCGCGCCGCCGGGCAGGTCGCGGAGCAGCCGCCTTCCCGGGAGCGGCGCGGGCGGCAGAGGCCCGGGGCCCGCGGCCCGCGTCCCAGGGACGGGCCCCGCCGGGCGCGCGCTCCGGCCGCCGGCCTCGGCGCCGCGACCCCGCTCAGGCCCCGCGGGCGCGCATCCCGCAGCCGCCGGCCCGCGGGCGCTCGCAGCCGGGCAGCCCTTTGTTAGCCTGCGCCGCGCTCCGGGAGCGGGCCGGCGGCCGGGCGGCGCCGAGCCGACGGGGGCACGGCCCGGGCGGGGGCTCGGGACGCGCGGCGGCACCAGGCGCCCTCCGCGGTCGGGCTCCGCCGGCTCGGCCTTCAGGGAAGCCCGGCGCGCCCGCTGCCCCCGACGCGGCGCCGCTCGTCTAGGCCGCTCTTTCCTGAAAGCCCGCGGCGGGTCCTCGTGTGGGAACATAGGTATCCGCGCCGAGTGCCTGAGTCCCGCGGAGCCGCGCGCGGCCGCCCCCGCCGCGGAGCCTGGGAGCCGGTCCGGAGGCCCACGCCCTCTGCTCGGGCCGGCGCGTGCCGGCTTCGCGGGGCCCGTCCGAACTGCGAGCACGGAGCGCGGCGGGGTTACGGCACCGCGCCGGGCGCCCTCGTCCTGGCGGACAGGCGTCCTCGGCGAAGGACCGCTCCCGAGGGGCGGGGCAGGGCTGGGCCGGGGTCAGCCCGGGGGCACGTGACGGGGCGGGGCGCGGGCACGCTCTGGGGCCGCAGCGGGCGCCCGCGTCGCTCCGCCCCGCCCCGCGCGCCGTCGGAGGGCAGGTGCCGCCGCCGCTTCCGCCCCGAGGCCGCGGCCGCCAGGAGGCGCGTGCGCCGGGGTCGCGCGCCGTCCGTGGCGCCCCGCGTCGCACTTCCGGTGTCGTCATGGCGAGGCTCTGGCTCTGGGCCGGCGGCGCGGGCTTGTTTCTCGCTCTGCTGGTTCTGCGTTCGCGCTTTTCCGGCTGTCGGGTGAGTGGGCGAGCGCGGCCGTGCGGCTCGGGTGGACGGCGCTGCTCCGCGGGCGCTGGCGGGCGGGGCGCGCGGGCGGAGCAGCCCCGAGGCGGGGCCTTGGCGGGGTCCGGACTTCGGGGCTCCCCCGCTGGGGCCGCGCCGGGGCGATGCGGGCCCTGGACGGCGCGTGCGAGCTGGTCGCCGGGACAGAGGGGGAGCAGTGCGCGCGCGTGTGCGTGTGTTACTTTCTCCTCCACCTGCACCCCGATAAGCCCGTCATGCTCAGAACCGCACGACTGCGCGGACCGTAACCAGCCCGCGTGAGACCGGCCCAGAACACCTGTCCCCCCTCGCGGGGCGCGCACGTCGGGCTTCCTGCCACGCGCGGCCGGCCTCTTGGGCCAGGAGACAGACACGCGCTTGCGAACGTGATGGGACCCGAAAGTGCGGTCTCCGAGGCGGCCGAGGACGCAGCACGAGGTGCGGCAGGCCTGGCACCCCGGCACCCCGAGAGGAGGGAGCGGCGCGGGGGTGTGTTGCGGTCGCCGCGGTCTTGGCGCGTGTCCGGTCATCCCTGCCCAGGCCTCGCTGCCCTCTGTCGGGGTTCCGGTCACGCGCAGAAAGAGGCCTTCTCGACCTGGACCGGGAACTGACGCTGCACCTCTGGCTTCGTCTAAGGTGTTACAGGAGTTTGCTTTCCGAATTCCCCGGAGAACGGAGGAGGTTCTGTACAGGCTGGATGTGGGGTGGCCCACGCACCCGGAGCACTTCACCGGCACGACGTTCTGTGTTGCAGTGGACTCCCTGAACGGGCTGGTTTACGTCGCCCAGGTCAGTAACTTTGGGTTTTTTTAGGCACATGAGCCCAGAGGAAGCATCAGCCTCTTTTACGTACTGCGCCAAGTCACCATACATGTGTACGTCACACCAGTGACGGAATTTGTTTTTTGAATTGCTTTCAAGGGACTGTGTGACTTCGAATTTCATAGGTGTTAATATTAAGTTTTGAACACAGTATCGAATATTACTAAATTCCTGGGCCTTTAAACATTACTAAGTTCCTCAATGAACCTTCATTTTTGCTTCTCTCTGCAAAAATAAAGATTAGTTCCTTAAAACTGAGCATATCTAAGCAGTTACTTTTGTGTACCTTCAGAGAGGAGATAACATCCCAAAGGTGTTAGTGTTCACAGAGGATGGATATTTCCTACGAGGTTGGAATGACACCGTTGACACACCTCATGGCATGTTTGCAACCAGTACACCGCAGGAACAGTCCATCTGGATCACGGACGTAGGAAGTGGTATGTGTACTACAGTCTATTAAATTATCTTGCTGAAACTATATATTTTCCCATGTTCTTGCTTGTACGTTTTAAAAATCAGCATTGCTGGTCCTAATTGTTTCTTTAATGATTCACGAAGTCACTTATTTTTAAAAATATATTGTAGTTCTGTGGAATTAAGACACTTAACAAAGAGGCTATCATTATTAGGATCTTTCCTTTAACTTCATAAGAGCCTTTTTTTAATTTACATTTTAATTTTTCAATTACAGTTTACTTTTAGTATTACTTTGTATTGATTTCCGGTGTAGAGCACAGCGATTAGACAGTCATCACGTTACAAAGTATCCACCCTGATATTCCCAGTATCCACCTGGCGCCTGCATAGTTACCGTGACACTAGTGACTCTTCCCAGTGCTGCACTTTCCGTCCCCTTGACTGCTCCGGAGCTACCAGTGTGCTGAATCCCTTCGCCTCCTTCACAGCCCCCAGCCCCTCCCCTCCGGCAGTCACCAGTCCAGTCTCTGTGTCTGTGCATCTGCTTCAGTTTTGTTTCTTCCTGTATTTTGTTCCTTAGATTCCCCGGAGAGGGTCAGGCAAAAGTAGGTTTACAGTTCTATGGAAAAAGACATGCAGGTTGTGATTATTGCAATAACTTTACTAAATGCAAAGGAATGGTACTCACAACTGTAAACCTACTTTTGCCAACCCCTGTATAAGTGAAATCATACGGTATCTATCTTTCCCTGACTGACTTATTTTACTGAACCTAACACTCTCTAGGTCCACTCATGCTTTTGCAAATGGTACAATTTCATTCTCTTTTCTTTTTATGGCCAAGTAATACTTTATTGTATATGTACCACAGCTTTTTTATTAATAGACATTTTATCAATGTCTATTGATGGGCATCTGGGTTGCTCTCATATCTTGACTATTGTAAAGAACACTGCAATGAACACAGGGGTGCACATATTCTTTTGAATACGTTTTTTGGGTTTCTTTGGATGGATAAGTAACCAGTTAGAATCACTGGGTCATAAAAGAAGTTCCATCTTTAATTTTTTGAGAAGCCTCTATTCTGTTTTCCATAGTGGCTGAATAGGTCTGCATTCCTACCAGCAGTGCATGAGGGACCCCTTTTCTCCACATCCTCACCAACACTTCTTTGGGGATTTATTGATAGCCATTCTAACAGGTTTGAGGTGATATCTCCTTGTGGTTTTAATTTGCATTTATCTGATGATTAGTGACCTTGACCGTCTTTTCATGTCTATTGGCCATCTGTATGTCTTCTTTGGAGATGTATCTGTTCAGGCCCTCTACCCATTTTTTAATTGGAGTGTTTGTTTTCTTGGTGTGGAGTAATATGAGTTCTTTTTAAATTTTGGACATTAACCCCATATTAGATGTGTCATAGACTAATGTCTTCCATTCAGGGTTGTCTTTTTCTTTTCATGATGGTTTCCTTTGCTTTGCAAGAACTTTTTTAGTTGATGGAGTCCCAGTTGTTTATTTTTCTTTTCTTTCCCTTGCCTGAGGAGATGTATCAGAAAAAATATTGCTAAGAGAAATGTCTGAGATTGTACTGCCTATGTTTTCTTGTGGCAGTTTTATGGTTTTGAGTTTTGCCTGTAAGTCCTGAATTTATTTCGAGTTATTTTTTTCTTTTTTGTTAATTTTCACGCAAGGATATTTTTTCCTTTGATTTTTAGAGAGAGTGGAAGGAAGGGAGAGAGAGAGAAACATTGATGTGAGAGAGACACATCGATTAAGGTTGTTTCCTGCACTCCCCCGACCAGGGCTGGGAATCGAATCTGCAAGCCAGGTACATGCCCTTGGTACATACCCCTCAGTCCATGGGCCAACTCTCTAACCACTGAGCCAAACCGGCCAGGGCTCTCCTTGAATTTTAAATGGTAGCCTTGCTGGAAGACTAGCCTTGGTTGTAGATCCTTGCCTTTCATCACTGAGTATTTTGTTTCAGTTCCTTCTGGCCTGAAGTGTTCCATCAGCCGACATTCTTTTGGGCGTTCCCTTGCAGGGGACTGTGTTTCTCTTGTTCCTTTTAAGATTCACTCTTTGTTTCTAACCTTTGCCATGTTAACCTGAGGTGTATCAGTGTGGGCCTCTGTGGCTTCGTCCACATTCCCTGGACGTGTCCTTTTACCTCACCAGGCTAAGGAAGTTTTCAGTCATTTCTTCAAATAATTTCCCAATCCCTTGTTCTCTTTTCTTCTCCTGGTACTCCTGTGAGGTAGGTGATGTTACACTTCATGTTGTCCCAGAGGTCCCTTACACTATCCTCATTTCTTTAAAATTATTTTTTCCTTTTAATACTCTGATTGGGTAGCTTTTGTTACCTCATCTTCCAAATCATTGATTCGACGCTCTGCTTCATCTAAGCTACTGTTGATTCCTTCTCCTGTATTCTCCATTTCAGACCCTGTGTGCTCCATTTCTGACCGGGTCCTTTTTGTGTTCCCTGTGTCCTTGCTGCCGCTCCCCCTGATCCACCATCCTTTCCCTGGGCTCCTCGAGCATCTTTGCAGCCACTGTTCTGTACTCTGCATGTGAGCCTGCCTGCCTGCCTGCATGTGATTTGTTCATCTGTTCTGGGGCTTTCTCCTGTTCCTTCACTTGGAGCATGTTTCTCGGTCTCCCCGTGTGGCCTCCCTGTGTCGGCGTCGGTGTGGGGGGATCTGCCGTGTCCCGGCCTTGCTGCGGCGCCGTGCGCAGCGGGCCCAGTGGACCCAGTGGCTCCTTCCTGGCCGCCCAGCAGAGCGTGCCAGGCTGTCCCGTGTACGGGTTATGAGAGCCCTCCTGCTGTGGCTGAGTCTGGGTGCTGTTGCCCCTCTGTGTGGGGTCAGCCCCAGGGCGCCCGACTGTGCGGCTCCACTGGTACCGCAGTGTATGGATTCCCGCACCGGTGCTGACCACGTGAAGCACACCTTGCCCGGCGGGGTCTGGTGCTTGCAGACATCTCCTTTCGCCATGCCACTTATGGAGCCAATCGGGTCCCACTCTGATGTGCTGTGAAACCCGCCACGGGGTGTATGGGCCTCTCGGGAGGGACTCTGGTGCAGGTTGATGTCAGACGCTCCCTGTGACTGGCCCTGGGCTACCTGTTTAGAGGCACAAAGCAATCCATTGTCTGTGGCTGCCTCTGTTGGGCCTTGGTAGGTGTGGGAAGGGCCAAGGTGTGCACCCAGCTGGCTGCCACCGGCACCGAGCCTGGGGTAGGTCAGCAGAAGGCCGAGACGCCTGAGCTCCACCCCCACCTGCCACCGCCTGTTAGGCTCAGTCACGGGCCAGGCCTCGGGCTGTGCACAAGGTACTTGTGGCTTCCCAGTGAGTCACCAGGTAGGGGCAAGTGTCATTCACCAGATTGAAACGGAGTCAAACTCGCTGCCAGTGCCAGGTCTGAGGCCACTCATTAAACTTCGGGTGCACCAAGGCCAGCTGCCACCTGCCAAGTGCCCAGAGACCTCCGTAGTGGGGTGAAGTCTCAGAGTGTCACAGTGAGGCTAGCAGAGTTCATCAGGCCCCAGCAGAACAGCTTGGCCTGTGAAGGAAGGGCTCTGCCCAGGGTCAGTGTGCCCATCAGGCAAGCAGGGCTGTAACGGTCCCGCCCCCGGGCCGCAGACTCAGCTGCTTCCCGACTCTGGACAGACCTTCTTGAAAGCCCGAGCTCGGCAGGGCTGGGCCACTGGCTAGTGGGTCTCGTGGTGGCTCCAGGCAGGCTCGTGGGAATGAACTGCACACTCGGTGACACTCCCTCAGTCCTCCCAGACTGTGCCGGGGCCCAGAGCTGACTGCTCTGCAGGTGGGAGCCCTGCTGGGCAGCTCGGCCAGGTCGGGGGTGGGACTGTCGCGTCACCCAGGCTGACGCCACGTGGAGGGAAGGGGAGGCCCGGGGAGGTGGTGTCCGTGGGCGGGGTGGGAGCCCTGCTGGGCAGCTCTGCCAGGTGGGGGAGGGGGGGACACGACGGCTGCGTCACCCAGGCTGACGCCATGTGGAGGGAAGGGGAGGCCCAGGAGGTGGTGTCCGTGGGCAGGGTAGGAGGGCCTGGCGGTTGTCCTTTCCGCCCTCTCCCCAGCCACACAGCCCAGTCTTTCCTCCCACGACTCGGCTGCAGTCAGCCTGGTCAGGCCGGGAAGGAGCTGCTGTGTGCTGGTCTAAAGGGGCACCTGCTGGACAGAGCCTTGCTGATTTTCACACCACGTGTTACATGGGCTCCTCGCCCTGGCTGCGGTGCTCCATGCTGGGGCGTCCGGCGTGATCTGAGACCCTCGCTCCTTGGGGGGCCTCTGCGGCTGAGACACCCTGCAGATTCTCAGCCGCTGCTCAGGGGCGCAGACCCTCGTCTCTGCACTCCCCCGGTCTCCTTGTGTCTGCTGTAAGCCTTGGTCATGAGGCGTCTTCAGTGCGTTTTGGTTGATTGGCCAGTATCTTAGTTGTGACTCAGCGTGGTCCCGGGAGGAGGCGGCACGACTTCCCCCGGCTCCGCTCTGGGCTCCCCTGGACTGTCCCTTCGAGCCCCAGCTGCTGTGCTCATGGAGCAGGGCCCTGACGGCGCGAAGCCCACCAGGACGGCACCCCGGCGCTCGCCCGGAGTCCGGCCTCTCCTCCCCTGTCAGTTTCCTTTCCAAAGAGACGGTGCTCAAGAACTGGAGCTGCTTTGTTTCCAAGTTGCGAAATTTATGGAAACTTCTGGTGTCAGCACTTCCGCAGTCCTACTGACTGCCACGTGTCTGAAACCTTCCTTCCGTGGGATGTTTGTAGCAGCGTGTGCTGGGAACAGTGGGCACAGCTGTGGAAGTGAGCGTCCGAGGCAGCTGCCGCAGGTGCTGAGGCCCAGGGCGAGGCAGTGCCGGGCCGCCTCATCCCGGAAGGAACGGCGTCGGGCCAGTGTGCCATGTGCTGTGACCAGTTCCGCTCACGGCCTGAAGGACACCCTTCTCCCAGTCTGGCCCGGTCAGATACCGTCTGGGGATTGGTCAGGTCTCAGTTCTATAAGAATTGCCATTATCACGTTTGTTCTCAGAACCCAAAACATTTCTGAGCCTCAGCTAATGACTGTTGATTTCACGATGTATTTTGGGATTGTAAGATATGTTTAAACCAAAAAATACTAGGTTACCCCTGAGTTCATTGCCATGAAATTTGGCTATTTTTCCTGTTTTTAACGATTCACTGTTAAAGACCTTTACTTTTTAATTCATTCCATTCATGTGATATATTTTTGTAAAATAATTCAGATTCCCCACTAGAAAGAACACCGTGTCTTTCATTCTTTCCACTGTGGTTTGCTCTTCCTGTCCGGCTCTGAAGACAGTCTCATATTCCTTCTCATTTGTCAGAGGAATGGACTCCCTTTAATAGAAACATGACTGCAGTGAGCCTTTTCAAAACATCTTTTACTGGTATTTTACCTCTTTTGCAAATTCTTTTGAAACTTTGTGGAGTTTGCTTTCTTTAAAAATCTTTTGTTCTTGCCCTGGCCAGTTTGACTCAGCGGTTAGAGTGTTGGCCTGCGGACCAGAGAGTCCTGGGTTCGATTCTGGGTTGCGATTCGTCCCCAGCCCACTAGGGCTGTGCAGGAGGCAACCAGTCAATCACATTGATGTTTCTCTCTCTTCCTCCCTTTCTTCCTCCTGCTGTATCTGAAGATAAATGTAAAAATATCCTCGGGTGAGGAATAAAAAAAATATCTTTTGTTCTCTTATTATTGCTACAAACTTTAGCTCAAGCCTCCAGATCAGATATAGTAATAAATACGATTTTCAGCATAGACTTGTAATGTGAGCTGACTCGCTCTTTGCAGTGGGCTCAGTGTGTCCAGTCACCTTTCAGACGACTGGCAGGTGCTCTGGTCCCGTTTGCCCCCAGCTTGACTTCTGTCCGCTGCCGTCTGGTTTTCCTTCTCATTAATGTTCCTTATTCTTTGCGTGTGAGGTCATCGTAACTCAGCAAGACTTTCATGTAAGTGAGAAGACATGGTCCTAGTGACTTGGAAAGATTGAGTCCCTTTTTAGGAAAGAAAGTTAATGAGTTGAATTTTGAATTTGTTTCCACTAAGAGAAAATGTACTTTAAAAACAAAAATCTCTTTTTTTTTTCCTTTATAGATTTTAGAGAGAGAGGAAGGGAGAGAGACAGAGAGAGAGAGAGAGAAGAAACATGGATGAGAGAGAACATCGATTGGCCGCCTCCTGCACGCCCCCCACTGGGGATGGGCCCACAACCTGGGCATGTGCCCTGACCGGGAATCGAACTGGCGACCTCTTGGAGTAGGGTCGATGCTCAACCACTGAGCCACACCGGCCGGGCCAAAAATCTTTATTACAGATAACTTTTTTGTTGACCTACTGAAATTTAAGACCTGCACATAAATGAGCGAGATGACAGTTTTCAAATACAAATCATTTCCCAATTCCATCTTGATTTCCTTTTACAAGTAATGCTCACTGCAGCTCATAAAATTAAAGTGGGAAATAGTATGCTAATAATTTAATATAAGCTTTCTGTACAAGGAGTCAATATTTTTTTTTTTATTTGTTTGAGTTTACTTATTTTGAGGGACCTGAGATTTTACTTCATGGATAGATTTGGCCAAAACTAATGAGGAAGCTCAATTGCTGGTCAAATACAACATTTAATTATCTGAGCCTGTTAACTTCTTTTATTACTGTTTAATTCTACCAGATTTCTGCTCTCAGCTTACAGTGGCCCTTGAACAACATGGGTTTGAACTGGGTGGGTCCACTTACAAGTGGGTTTTATTTTTCAATAAATACTATAAATGTACCTTCTCTTTCTTATGATTTTCTTAAGAGTATTATTTTTCTTTAATACAGTTCTTTCTATCCTCACCTGAGGATGTGTTTTCATTGATTTTAGAGAGGAAGGGAGAGGGAGAGATAGATAAACATTGATGAGAGAGAAACATTGATCGGTTGCCTCCCATATGTACCCCAGTCGGAATTGTGCCACAACCCAGGTATGTGCCCCGACCAGGAACCAAACCTGTGACCCTTCAGGGCACGGAACAACACTTCAACCAACTGAGCCACACTGGCCGGGGTCCACTTTTGTTTCTTTAGCTTACTTTATTATAAGAACACAGTGTATAAGAATATCTATAACATACAAAATACGTATAACATACAAAATGTGTGTTAATTGACTGTTTATGTAATCAATAAGTGCCGGTCAGCAGCAGAATATTAGTAATTAAGTTTTTGGGGTGTTAAAAGTTATATGTGAGCCCTGGCCAGTGTGGCTCAGTTGGGCCGCAGGTTCGATTCCCAGTTAAGGGCATTTACCTGGGTTGCAGGTTCGATCCCTGGCCCTGGTCGGGGCACATGTGGGAGGCAACCAGTCGATGTGTCTCTCTCACATCGATATTTCTCTCTCTCTCCCCGTCCCTCCCTCTCACTCTCTCTAAAAGAATCAGGAAAAATGCCCGCAGGGGAGGATTGACAACAGAAAAGTCGTCTGTGATTTTCAACTGCAGGGGCCAGTGCTTCTGACGGCCTCGCCCCACCCCGTTGTTCAGGGGTCAGCTGTACCTGACAAACGTGAACATCCGCACCGAGGTTGTGTTGTGAAACGTGCATGCCTGTCTTTGTAGGGTCCTTTGGTCACACTGTTAAAAAGTATAATTCCTTTGGTGATCTCGTTCAAGTCGTGGGTACCCCAGGCAAGAGAGGCACTGGCTTGAATCCACTGCAGTTTGATAGCCCTGCAGAGCTGTATGTGGAGGACACGGGAGATCTTTACATTGTGGACGGAGACGGAGGCTTGAATAACAGATTGATCAAGTTGTCCCAAGGTACGTGGCTTAATTTTCTACATATTGTATAAGAACATTATTTAGTAAGTGGGATTTAATTCGTTTGGTATTTCGTATAATGATATAACTGTTGAATACGAATCTGTAAGGGCTCAAGTGTATCAGACCAGACGTTGGGTGGCAGAAGTAAATGGTTCTAGAGATTTGCTTATTCCTCGCTGCCAGCGGGGTGTTTCCCTGGACATGACCGGGAGGCAGTCCGAGCACTGGCAGTGGGCTGTGGGCTGGAGAGATGAGCGGCTGTTCCGCGCAGTCAGGGCTGCGGGGCCGAGGGCTGGCCCTCCAGAGCCGAGGCACCGTGCAGGGTGCTCGATCCCAGGCGTCGTACTGAACCCCTGCTCTGCGCCGGCAGCAGTGTGGCCGCTGCAGGTCTGTGACAGATGGCAGACAGATGCTCCTCGGTGGTACCGATCGCTAGTAAGACTAGTAACATGGTAGCACAAGACACGAGGAGAAACCAGTTGACTGGAGGAGTGGACAGTCGAGAAGGAAGAAGGTCTTGCACTGACCTGGTCTGACGGGAGGGAGGAGTGGACAGTCGAGAAGGAAGAAGGTCTTGCACTGACTGGTCTGACGGGAGGGGAGGAGTGGACAGTCGAGAAGGAAGAAGGTCTTGTACTGACCTGGTCTGACGGGAGGGGAGGATGGACAGTCGAGAAGGAAGAAGGTCTTGCGCTGACCTGGTCTGACGGGAGGGAGGAGTGGACAGGAGCAGTGCTCACTGCCCTGCGCCCGGTCTGCAGGAGGACCTCCAGGTGCCCGTCATGCAGGAAAGGAGGTTCGGAACGTCCTCGAGAGCTTATGCTGGGATCTAACCAGGGCCAGGAAACCAGACCAGAGGCCGACACCCAGCACCGCATCCAGAGTTTATAGAGGGAAGTCGCTTAGGGGCTCCGCCCAGGGAGGCAGCCGATGGTGTGGGTGGCCTCCCAGCTGCACACTTAGCTGCTGAGGATGATAGGGAACAGGGCGGCGTGAACTAGGGCTACTGGGAGGAAGGCCTCGCAAGCTTGCCATGGGAGGGAGCTGCCTGCCTCCAGGCGGGGGAGAGGGTGGACCCGACAGGCTCGGATTCCAGAGAACCTCCTCTGTTCTGTGCCCGACCAGCCCGTGGCTGGCAGCGGCCTTGTTACAGAACAGCCTGTCCTCCAGTTTGTCTACAGGTGTAACTCCACAGTCAGCCTGTAAAGAGTCTGTGGCCCTGGCCGGTAGCTCGGTTACTTGGACCGTTGTCCCAATACCCCAAGGTTGCAGATTCAGTCCCCAGCAAGGCTCATACAAGACGCAACCAGTGAATGCATAAAGAAATGGAACAATAATTAGATGCTCCTGCCCCTTTCTCTCTCTAGAAAATTCAATAACTAAGAAAAGTAAAGGAAAAAAGTGTCTTTGCAGTGTTTAGAAAGGTGATGTTACCGAAGGAGAGTGCTCACAGCACAGCACTGTGTCAGCGTATTTGCTGGAAGCTCCGTCACGGGGCGCTGTGCAGTCACCACCCCGTCACTGAATCCGGTGGCAGACAGTGAAGGAAGGTGAGGGGGGATAAAGTAGGAACCCAGAAATTTCTATGGAAGAAGGAAGTAAGCGAATTCAGGAGGCAAGGTGGACGTGGATGCCGCAGCGAATCGCCCGGCTGGGCCTGGACAGCAGTCCCTGGCCTGGCTCTGGAGCCGGAAGTCTGGACGAGGGGCCCCGGGGGAGCGTCCTCGCCTGTCCAGCCTGGTGGCCGCAGACACTCCTGACCTGGGCAGCATCGCCCGGGCTCTGCCTCTGTCCGCAGTGTAAGATCACTGGATTCAAGACCCCCCCAAATCCAGGATCCTCTTGTCACAGTTCCCAGCGTACCTGTGTCTGCTGAGACCCCGCTCCTGCGCGGTCACGTTCGTGGGTTCTGGAGGTTGGTGCTCAGACACACCTCTGCAGGGGCCAGCGTGGAACCCACTGCAGGGCGGCGGGGGACTGGAGCACAGCGTGAGCGTGCGCTCAGAGGGTGCTGGGACACACCTCTGCAGGGGCAGCGTGGAACCCACTGCAGGGCGGCGGGGGACTGGAGCACAGCGTGAGCATGTGCGCTCAGAGGGTGCTGGGACACACCTCTGCAGGGGCCAGCGTGGAACCCACTGCAGGGCGGCGGGGGACTGGAGCACAGCGTGAGTGTGTGCTTAGAGGGTGCTGGGACACACCTCTGCAGGGGCAGCGTGGAACCCACTGCAGGGCGGCGGGGGACTGGAGCACAGCGTGAGCGTGCGCTCAGAGGGTGCTGGGACACACCTCTGCAGGGGCAGCGTGGAACCCACTGCAGGGCGGCGGGGGACTGGAGCACAGCGTGAGTGTGTGCGCTCAGAGGGTGCTGGGACACACCTCTGCAGGGGCCAGCGTGGAACCCACTGCAGGGCGGCGGGGGACTGGAGCACAGCGTGAGCGTGTGCGCTCAGAGGGTGCTGGGACACACCTCTGCAGGGGCCAGCGTGGAACCCACTGCAGGGCGGCGGGGGACTGGAGCACAGCGTGAGCGTGTGCTCAGAGGGTGCTGGGACACACCTCTGCAGGGGCAGCGTGGAACCCACTGCAGGGCGGCGGGGGACTGGAGCACAGCGTGAGCGTGTGCGCTCAGAGGGTGCTGGGACACACCTCTGCAGGGGCCAGCGTGGAACCCACTGCAGGGCGGCGGGGGACTGGAGCACAGCGTGAGCGTGTGCGCTCAGAGGGTGCTGGGACACACCTCTGCAGGGGCCAGCGTGGAACCCACTGCAGGGCGGCGGGGGACTGGAGCACAGCGTGAGCGTGCGCTCAGAGGGTGCTGGGACACACCTCTGCAGGGGCAGCGTGGAACCCACTGCAGGGCGGCGGGGGACTGGAGCACAGCGTGAGCGTGTGCTCAGAGGGTGCTGGGACACACCTCTGCAGGGGCAGCGTGGAACCCACTGCAGGGCGGCGGGGGACTGGAGCACAGCGTGAGCGTGTGCGCTCAGAGGGTGCTGGGACACACCTCTGCAGGGGCCAGCGTGGAACCCACTGCAGGGCGGCGGGGGACTGGAGCACAGCGTGAGCGTGTGCGCTCAGAGGGTGCTGGGACACACCTCTGCAGGGGCCAGCGTGGAACCCACTGCAGGGCGGCGGGGGACTGGAGCACAGCGTGAGCGTGCGCTCAGAGGGTGCTGGGACACACCTCTGCAGGGGCAGCGTGGAACCCACTGCAGGGCGGCGGGGGACTGGAGCACAGCGTGAGCGTGTGCTCAGAGGGTGCTGGGACACACCTCTGCAGGGGCAGCGTGGAACCCACTGCAGGGCGGCGGGGGACTGGAGCACAGCGTGAGCGTGTGCTCAGAGGGTGCTCGGACACACCTCTGCAGGGGCCAGCGTGGAACCCACTACCCACTGCAGGGCGGCGGGTGACTGGAGCACAGCATGAGCGTGTGCTCAGAGGGTGCTGGGACACACCTCTGCAGGGGCCAGCGTGGAACCCACTGCAGGGCGGCGGGGGACTGGAGCACAGCGTGAGCGTGTGCGCTCAAAGGGTGCCGACAGCAGGCAGCAGCGTGGTCGGCTGGGGAACTGGATTCAGGAGGAGGTTGACATGGACCTTAAACAGTGATTTGAGTGATAAAAATTCACGAGGTAATCATTAAAGAAGTTGATTAACTGAAACAGGAGGGGTTTTTTTGTAAAGCATAAGAATTAGGCAAATAGGTATGTGAACAAAAAGCAAGGGATGGGTCATCACTGAAAAAGTTCGTCTGCATCCTGTGATAAAACACAACATGCAAATGTATGAGACGCTCTCTGTGTATGTTTACGTTTACAGATCTCATGATGCTTTGGTTGCACGGAGAAAATGGGACAGGGCCTGCACAGTTCAGCATACCGCACAGCGTCACCGTCGACTCGTCTGGTCGGGTAAAATACAGCGTCATTGTCTCTGGATGTGTTTGTCCGTGTGTCTGCATGTGTGTCTGGGTTTGTACACACAGATCTTAGTGCACCTGTGCCTGTCTGGACATCCAGTGTGTGTGTCCGTGCATGTGTTTCTGTGTGTCTGGACATCGGTGTGCCTCCGTGTCAGTGCATGTGTGTGCTTGTGTCTGGACAATACTCTGGGTTGGGTACACCCGGCGTACTCTCTTATAGACGTTTGAGTCCTATAATGAAAGTTTCCTAATATTAAAAACCAGCCTAATAGGTTCCTATTCACGTGACGGCCAGAAGGAGCAGACAATGGAACTGAATGCAAAGGAAGTTACCTGATCTTTTTTATTTCGGATATGTCATTTTTTATCTCTTCTTGTTGGTTTTTAATTTCCATTTGGCTTATTTTCAGTGTCTCTATGTCCTTACTCATGCTGTTTAGCTTCCTCAAGATCATGGCTCTGAATTCTAGCTCTGTTAACATGCCTAATTGCTCCACATTGATCTCATCTTCGGTGGAGGTTTCTTGCTCTTTCATTTGGCTTCTGTTTCTGTGTTTCACCATTTTGGCTATCACTGAGGGCTTTGGAGCCTGTCAAGTTCTCCCTGTGGGTGTTGGTGTTCTGCTCTTTGTGGCTCCTCTCCTGTGTTTAGATGAGCGAGGGAGGACCCACGTTGAACACCACTGTCAAGTCTTACTTTGCTGGTTAAAGTTGCCAGCCCAGGAAACGTACTGTTATCCTCTAGCTTTTTGCCTGGAGGCTAGCAGTCTAGGTTACTTGATGAGTTTTGGGTTGCCAGTTGATTGAAAAACTCCCTCTGGTGCTCAGCCAAGGGGCTTTCATGAGGGTGGGGCAGATGCTGGTTGTTAATGAGCCTCACTTAGCACTTCAATGGCCCACAGGGTGGGGTTGGATCTCCGAGGGAGGGGCTGCTGCCTCTCCCCAGAGCCCTGGGAAGGAGCAATGTGGCCACCGTCCTGAGTGGCTGCACTCAGCCAAAGCTCCGAGCGCCCTCCAAACCCCGAGTGTCCCGACACAGCTCCAGTCCAGTCCGCCCTCCCTCTGCCGGAGCCCAAGGTGAGTGGCTGTGGCTGTTTCAGCCTCTGTCCCGGCTGCGCTGTGGGGCCGCCTGGGAGTGTGACCCGAGGGCGCCGCTCCCAGCTGAGGCCGCTGCCGAGCTGCCGACCGTGGGCTCCCAGCCCCGTCTCGCGCCTTCGCAAGCCTCCCGGGATGGAGTCGGTGTCCCTCGTTGTCTGGTCCTCGCAAGCTGCTTTTCTGTTGGTTTTTCCCGTCGATTTGTCTGTGTTATAGTTGTAATTCCAGTTTGGTTCTGGGAGACGGTCTGTGTAGCTCCGTTCACTCCGCCGCCATTTTCTGTCTCCTTTACCTGATCTTTTTTAAGAGTTTCTCTCCTAGTAGGACAACTGCTGTATTTAAATATAGTTTGAATTCTAGATCCAAACAAGTCGCTTCTAGAATGCATTGATCAAAAAGATAGAAGAGGTCAGTCTCGGAGGCTGTGGCCCACCTGTTCCTCCCGTCTGCACTTGGAGGGCTCCCGCCAGCAGATCACGGCTCTGTTGCTGTTCGCACCTTCACACGTGCATGGTGCTTGTTCCGGGTTGCCTTTCTGTGGCCAAACCCCGCAGGAGCCCGTACTTCCCTGTAGCAGCCATGACGGGTGGGGCGTGTAGCTGTCTCCCCAGCAGGGTGAGGCCGGCGTGAAGCCCTCCCTGTGACTCAGTGCCCGGCGCCGTCCCGCCCCGCGCACGTCTGCCGTGACCGGCTGGCTGGGCGCACGGCGGCCATCCGACGGCCTTGCCGCAGGCCGCTGGAAGGTTGCACCCCCACTCCAGCTCTGCGCTCAGCGAGCAGCCTTCGGCTACGCTTGGGCCTCCTGTGTTGACAGAATAAGAATGTTTGGAGCATAAAGTCTGCAAGTACTTCCCGTCGTAGGAAGGTAACTGAGCATGTGAGCTTTGTGTCGTAACTGGGAGCTAGGAAGTTGGAACTGACTGCTGTCCGGGGACAACGGGCACGTTTCTGAGCCGGCCGTACTTCAAGCCCAGGTCAGGTACCGGGGCGGGAATGCTGTTTTGGGAGGACTTGGAGGTCATTCCATAGACATGCTCTGGTACGACAGAGACGGGAAATCAGTTAGCTCTGCACGTCTAGTCCCGCTCCTAGGACTGAACTGTTTCCTCTTCGGCCTCTAACCTGAGGCCGTGGTCCCCAGGTCAGTGACCTTTCCAGCCATCGCTGCTGGTCTCAGGTACTGCAGTGAATCTTGGGTTCTGACTGGAGGTGAATTCACTGCTACCAAAACTGACACACGTTGATACAGACGTGGTCAGGTTACCCTGAGGAAGTCCCTGAATCCACAGCCCCAGCAGATCCCGACGGGGAGAGGTAGAGGCCAGGTGGGTTGGACCACCCTTCAGTCCCTCGTCATGGCTCTGCACCCCCAGCCATGTGTCACTGAAAAGATGTCGCTGTGAGTGTGCCGGCCACGGGCTGCGCACATCAGGGACAGCACTCGAAACGTCATTCGGAATGGCCCTTCCTGTGGCCAACAGCACTTCCTTAGCACCAGCTGCCGCCAGGTGCAGACCTCGTGCAACCCGCCCGCCAGCTGGCCTTCCCTCTGTGCTCCGTCTCCGGCTGCTCTCAGTGCGTCCGCCCTGTGGACACGCCGGGTGGACACAGGTGAGGGCTGGGGTGTCGCAGTGTGTGAGCACCAAGACACCGGCTGTCCTCTGGCCACGCTCCGTGGAGCACGCTGCTCCCCCTGTCTGTGCATCACCTGCCGCGGATGGATAGGCTGGCCGGGCTCTGTGACATGGGCGCTGGTTCGAGGTACGAGTGAGCGCCCTGCTTCAGGTCCCTGCGTCGACGCGGCCCATTGGAGCCCGTGTTCCAGCTACTCAGATGCTCTGCAGCAGACGGGCTTTGGGTTGAGACAGATACCCTACTGGTTCTCCAGCCTCAAGGCACTTTAACCTTTCTGAACTTTAATTTCCTGTCTGAAAATGGGGTTTTTGAAAACCTTATTTGGGGACCTCTAAGGACTAAATCAGTTCGTATATGTGCATTGATGACAGTGAACGTTCACTCTGTCCTCCTGCTCTCTTCCCTCATTGTGATGCGGCTCGTTTCCAGTAACGTTCTGTTTGCCGTTTCTCAGGTGTGGGTTGCTGACCGAGGAAATAAACGAGTTCAAGTATTTGACAAAGACACGGGGGCGTGGTTAGGAGCATGGACTAGTTGTTTCACAGAAGAGGGACCTTCTTCAGTCAGGTAATTGTTTCTTTGTATTTTAAAATGTTGTTTAATTGGCTTTTTGTTAGGTTCTCTGAAAAGCTAGCAGAAAGTTTAAAGTATTTATTGTTAATTTTAAGCAGGGAAAAGGGGAGAGAAACCAGCCTGCAGAATCACGTCACCGTAGTTTAAGTTCAGGTGGTTACATCCTCCGAGTGTGCGGCCCGAATCTGTGCTGGGCTCGCCTAGAGAGTTCCCTTGACAGGCGTTTGTGGATTTGTAAACAGAGTGAAAAGGAAATCTTGAGTCTGCAGCCTAACACTGATTCTTTATGACTTTCATTTCGTGTAGTACCAAATAATGGTTTTTAATTCTTTTAAGCTCATCTTCGGCTACGGCCACCATCACAGATCTCTTGTTTCCGCATTAATAGAATTGAGTCCATTTAGAATCCTCTCTGAGTGAACCCTCCAGCACTCATTCCGGCCTCTCTCTGACCCTTCTGACTCCTGCTTTTCCTGACCCCTGTGCCCGTGGCCCTGCTCCTACCCTCGGTGAAGTGACTCCCTTCCCCGGCCACCGCCCCTCGGCTCCTGGAGCTTTATCACGGCCTCGCTGACCCTGGTCGTCTGCGGGTCTGTGCTCACTGGTCCTTCTCCCGCTGGGGAAGGAAGAGAGTAGGGGCCTGGGTTCCTTGCTCACTGCCGAGTTCCTGGCTCCGAGAGCGCTGTGTGCACCCGGGAACCCAGTGTTCATGGAGCGAGGGATGGTTTAGTCCGTCCAGTCAGCAGCTCGGTGTGTGTTCACGTGGGAATGCCGTGTGTGTGTGTCTGTGAGACGTGTTCACATGGGGACACTGTGTGTGTGAGAGATGTGTTAACATGGGGATTGTGTGTGTGTGTGAGAGACGTGTTCACATGGGGATACTGTGTGTGTGTCTCTGTGTGTGAGAGACGTGTTCACATGGGGATACTGTGTGTGAGAGACGTGTTCACATGGGGACACTGTGTGTGAGAGACGTGTTCACATGGGGATACTGTGTGTGTGTGTGAGAGAGATGTGTTCACATGGGGATACTGTGTGTGTGTGAGAGAGATGTGTTCACATGGGGATACTGTGTGTGTGTGTGTGAGAGAGATGTATTCACATGGGGATACTGTGTGCATGTGTGTGTGAGAGACGTGTTCACATGGGGATACTGTGCGTGTGTGTGAGAGAGACGTGTTCACATGGGGATACTGTGCGTGTGTGTGAGAGAGACGTGTTCACATGGGGATACTGTGCGTGTGTGTGAGAGAGACGTGTTCACATGGGGATACTGTGTGTGTGTGTGAGAGATGTGTTCACATGGGGATTGTGTGTGTGTGTGAGAGACGTGTTCACATGGGGAGACTGTGTGTGTCTGTGTGTGAGAGACGTGTTCACATGGGGATACTGTGTGTGTGTGAGAGAGATGTGTTCACATGGGGATACTGTGTGTGTGTGTGTGAGACATGTTCACATGGGGATACTGTGTGTGTGTGAGAGAGATGTGTTCACATGGGGATACTGTGTGTGTGTGTGTGAGAGAGATGTATTCACATGGGGATACTGTGTGCATGTGTGTGTGAGAGACGTGTTCACATGGGGATACTGTGCGTGTGTGTGAGAGAGACGTGTTCACATGGGGATACTGTGCGTGTGTGTGAGAGAGACGTGTTCACATGGGGATACTGTGCGTGTGTGTGAGAGAGACGTGTTCACATGGGGATACTGTGTGTGTGTGTGAGAGATGTGTTCACATGGGGATTGTGTGTGTGTGTGAGAGACGTGTTCACATGGGGAGACTGTGTGTGTCTGTGTGTGAGAGACGTGTTCACATGGGGATACTGTGTGTGTGTGAGAGAGATGTGTTCACATGGGGATACTGTGTGTGTGTGTGTGAGACATGTTCACATGGGGATACTGTGTGTGTGTGAGAGAGATGTATTCACATGGGGACACTGTGTGTGTGTGTGAGAGATGTGTTCACATGGGGATACTGTGTGTGTGTGAGAGAGATGTGTTCACATGGGGATACTGTGTGTGTGTGTGTGTGAGACATGTTCACATGGGGATACTGTGTGTGTGTGAGAGAGATGTATTCACATGGGGATACTGTGTGTGTGTGTGAGAGATGTGTTCACATGGGGATACTGTGTGTGTGTGAGAGAGATGTGTTCACATGGGGATACTGTGTGTGTGTGAGAGAGATGTATTCACATGGGGATACTGTGTGTGTGTGTGAGAGATGTGTTCACATGGGGATACTGTGTGTGTGTGAGAGAGATGTATTCACATGGGGATACTGTGTGTGTGTGTGAGAGATGTGTTCACATGGGGATACTGTGTGTGTGTGAGAGAGATGTGTTCACATGGGGATACTGTGTGTGTGTGTGTGTGTGAGACATGTTCACATGGGGATACTGTGTGTGTGTGAGAGAGATGTATTCACATGGGGATACTGTGTGTGTGTGTGAGAGATGTGTTCACATGGGGATACTGTGTGTGTGTGAGAGATGTGTTCACATGGGGATACTGTGTGTGTGTGTGTGTGAGACATGTTCACATGGGGATACTGTGTGTGTGTGAGAGAGATGTATTCACATGGGGATACTGTGTGTGTGTGTGAGAGATGTGTTCACATGGGGATACTGTGTGTGTGTGTGTGAGAGATGTGTTCACATGGGGATACTGTGTGTGTGTGAGAGAGATGTGTTCACATGGGGATACTGTGTGTGTGTGTGAGAGATGTGTTCACATGGGGATACTGTGTGTGTGTGTGAGAGAGATGTGTTCACATGGGGATACTGTGTGTGTGTGAGAGATGTGTTCACATGGGGATACTGTGTGTGTGTGTGAGAGAGATGTGTTCACATGGGGATACTGTGTGTGTGTGTGAGAGATGTGTTCACATGGGGATACTGTGTGTGTGAGAGAGATGTGTTCACATGGGGATACTGTGTGTGTGTGTGAGAGATGTGTTCACATGGGGATACTGTGTGTGTGTGAGAGAGATGTGTTCACATGGGGACACTGTGTGTGTGTGTGAGAGATGTGTTCACATGGGGATACTGTGTGTGTGTGTGTGAGAGATGTGTTCACATGGGGATACTGTGTGTGTGTGAGAGAGATGTGTTCACATGGGGATACTGTGTGTGTGTGAGAGAGATGTGTTCACATGGGGATACTGTGTGTGTGTGTGAGAGAGATGTGTTCACATGGGGATACTGTGTGTGTGTGTGAGAGATGTGTTCACATGGGGATACTGTGTGTGTGTGTGAGAGAGATGTGTTCACATGGGGATACTGTGTGTGTGTGTGTGTGTGTGAGACATGTTCACATGGGGATACTGTGTGTGTGTGAGAGAGATGTGTTCACATGGGGATACTGTGTGTGTGTGAGAGAGATGTATTCACATGGGGATACTGTGTGTGTGTGAGAGATGTGTTCACATGGGGATACTGTGCGTGTGTGTGAGAGAGACGTGTTCACATGGGGATACCGTGTGTGTGAGAGACATGATGAGTGAGGTTTTCAGTAACCTTACTGGAGGGCAGGTAAGAACCAGTCGGCATGTTGGGAGTGTGTGGAATGTGCTATGAGTGCCTCCCGGCCACAGGGCAATGAGCTCACCGGGACGGGAACCTCCGCATCAGGGCGTCTGCTCAGCGCGTGGGGGTGAATGCCGGGAAAGGGGGCTGAGTGGTCGTTGCCTTAATTGACTGTGCAGTGTCTTCGCCGTAGGTTCACCCCTGACGGGAAGTACCTGGTGGTGGCCCAGCTGAACCTCAGCAGGCTCCTGGTGGTGGCAGCGCCCCCGGTGGGAGACCTCGGCCCCTGCTCCGTGGTGAGCACCATCCAGCTGGCGGACCAGGTCCTGCCCCATCTCCTGGACGTCAGTGCAGAGACCGGAGCCGTCTACGTCGCGGAAATCGGAGCGAAGCAAGTACAGAAATACGTGCCTTTGGAAGGCTCCTTCCCTTCGTTCCGCTGATGATGTTCCCCCTGGAGATCTTTCGGGGGGAAGTTCAGGTTCTGCTCACCGTTACGTGCTCAGCAGCAGCGTCCAGTGCAGGAATTCATCTTAAACTGTTTACCTGGTGTAGCATCAGAAAACCTACTTTTACGTCATGAAGGATTAGATGTTATGATGCCATTGCTGCGGCTTCCCTTTGCTTGTAAACGCGTAGGGTGTTTTAGTGCAGCCAGTGGAACTAAGAAGTGGGGCCAGAAGGAGGGACAGAGGTGTAACCTGGTTATTTGTCCTGGTGGTTGTCATCCTGGGGGTGCAGGAATAAACAGGGCGTTTAGGACCGCTGACCGCATGTCCCCGAGGAACCACGAGCCTCCCGTTTGTTCACATCGTATCAAAGGGACGGCTGAGGGTCAGGTCGACGGCTCGATTACCGAGGCCCCGGGAACGCGGGGTCCGAGCAGCTGGCCGCCCGCCCAGGGACAGCGGCACACGCGGTGGGCTGTGGGGCAGCAGCCTGCACGCGCAGACGCATGGGGGCTCTGCAAGGGGGGGGCTCTGCAGGGGTCAGTGTGGACTCCGACCCGGAAGCCCGCGGCGGAGGAGAGGGACGCGCTCCGAGCAGGCAGTCGGGAGGAGGTGCGGCTGTGGCTCGTGGCTCCTCTGAGGAGCCCACTTGGCTTCGGCCCTTCCCCCGCGAGACACCTGACCTCACCTCCAGACGAGGAGGAAACGGCCAGCACCAGCGGCCTCGCTGAGAGGGTCTCTGCACGTGGCTGCGCGTCTCTGAAGGCGGTGCCTCCTGGTCTCCCCTCCAGCGTGCACTGTCACCCCGACCCCGACCCCTCAGACAGTGCAGAGCGATGCATGTGGGGAGGCCGAGCCCAGCTCCTGCAGGAGCCGCCCCTGCCCGTCTGCTGCACTCCTCGCCGCCGGTCAGCAGGGCTTCCCGTTGAGACACCCTCCCCGCCCGGCGTCTGTCCCAGCTCCTGCAGAGACAGCCCCTGGCCGCGGTGGAGCTCGGGTCACCCTCCCCCTCCCCAGCCCCCCTTCCGGCCCGTCACTGCCATCGCGTCAAACACCGGGCATCTCGGGCTGCCCCCTCCTGACTGCGGTCCTGCTTTCCGGACTCCAGGGCTCGTCGCTCTGTGCGTGGTCCCAACTCGGTGCAGTGAGAGGGTGGACGGCCAGCAGGAGCCCTGTCCGTGTCCCTGCACCACCGGCGACGCTGCCCCCCCCACACGCCTTCATTCCCTTCAGGGAGACACGACGTCGTCGTCCTCTCTCCTGCAGAGATGCCGTGAGGCTCACATGTGCAGTAGGGACGCGTGTGCCATCGAAATGCAGGGAAGCGCCGAGTCCATTGTGAAGCCCTTCTAAGCTGCCCTTCACCTGAAACTAGGTTTGCCTGAATTCCACATCTGCTGTTTTTATCAGAACGTATCCTAAGAGGACACACAGATGACAGTAGACATTTGGCAAAATGCTCAATGTCACTAATCATCAGAGTGATGCAAATTAAAACAACTACGAGGTATCACCTCACTCCTGTCAGAATGGCCGCCATCAACAAATCATCAAACAACAAGTGCTGGCGAGGGTGTGGAGAAAAGGGGACTCTAGTGCACTGCTGGTGGAAATGCAGACCGGTGCAGCCACTATGGAAAACAATATGGTGTTTCCTCAAAAATTTAAAAATTGAACTTCCATTTGACCCAGTGATCCCACTTCTAGGAATATACCCTAAGAAGCCTGAAACACCAATCAGGAAGAATATGTGTACCCCCATATTCATAGCAGCACTATTTACAATAGCTAAGATCTGGAAACAGCCCAAGTGTCCACCAGTAGACGAATGGTAAGAAAGCTGTAGTACATACACACAATTGAATACTGTGTGGTTGTGAAAAAGAAGGCTCTCTCATCCTACGCAACAGCACGGGTGCAGAATTTTCTAGTAGCATTTATAAATGTACTGATTATACCTTATGTCAAAAACTAATATAGTCATTACCTAATGGGAATATGTTTCACTGTTTGAAGAAATACACAGCTAAACCTAGTCTGTGCTAAACCCAAATGTGAAGTATGGAATTTAGCTAATAATAATGTATCAGTATTGGCTCATCAGTTGTGATAAATGTACCACACCAAGGCAAGATGTTAAAATTAAGGGAACCTGGTGGGGGAGGGGAGTATATAGAAACTCTGTACTTTTCCTCAATACATTTGTAACCTAAAACTATGCTAATAATATTTATTATTCAGAAAAAGGGAAAGTTTATCAAAATCCCACTTGATACAAATCTCTTCTAAGATTGTTCAAACACCTCACTACGAGTTTCACGATACGAAGCTCCTTAGAACACTGAACCTGGACTGTTCTGCACAGTCTGCTGGTAGCATTGGCAGGTGTCCTGACTGCGCTTCGGCATGCACTGAGACACGCGTTGAGGATCTGGTTCACTTCTAGAAAGATGCAGGTCAACCTGTGAGTGGAATGCAGGCATCTTCTCTGGGGCATTAATTATATCCTAATATTTCCCTGAAGAAACCAGCATTCCAAGGCCGGCGCGCCTGTGTGCTCCTTCACGGTTAAACGTATGCCCATTCGGTAAATCATATATTTGTTTTCAATATGAAGTATGATTGATACATTTGTAAAAGCAGCTGGCAGCCTCGGTCTACACCAGTAGTTTCCGTGATTCAGTGATGCCCATTGTGTAAATGTAGGCAAGCGTTGGCTCACTCTTAGACGCAGTTTGTACCAAGCTGAATTTTGGTGAACGGTTTAAAGCACAGACTATAAATACTAAATGAAACTCTTACTAATAATGTGAGGAACGTTACAACGTGCTCCTAGTAAATGGCATTATATTATAATGTATCCAAAGTGATAGCAGCTTCCACACACTAGGTATAACTGTATTCCTTCAAGAGTGAAACATTCTCAGTATGTAATGTGTGTATCAGTAGGTAATGCATGACATACAGCCAATCCATTCGTAAATGCTAGTAGCAAAATCTAACGAGCTGCACATTTTTTAAACACTGAGAATTCATCTGTACCAGATGAATTTTGGAAACGTTTTAGCACAGACTATAATTGCTAAATGAAAATCCTGCCAACTATGTAATAAATATTTCAGCATGCTTTTAAATACATGGCTTTAGCCCTGGCTGGTTTGGCTCAGTGGTTAGAGTGTCGGCCTGTGGTCCAGAGAGACCTGGGTTTGGTTCCCACTAGGGGCATGTACCTCAGTTGCAGTTTGTCCCCGGCCCTGGTTGGGTCGTGCAGGTAGCAACTACTCGATGTGTCCCTTTCACGTTGATGTTTCTCTCTCTTTCTCCCTCCCACTCTGAACCAAAAATGGAAAAAATGTCCTTGGATGAGGATAAAAAATAAGTAAATAAATAAATGGCATTATATTGTAATATTTCACAGAAGATACTGCATTCCACACACCAGGTCCACCTGTGTATTTGTTCAAGCGCTGAAACATGTTCTCTGTAGGTAATGCATGTTTGGTCCATGACTGTATAATCTATACATTTGTGAAAGCTACTAGTAAACTATCTAGAAGAGTCTAATTTTAGTGTTTGAATGAGGTGCACATTGTATGCATGTAGTGAAGTGTTTGACCACTCTTCGGACTGATTTATGCCAAGCAGGATTTTGGAAAACTTTAGACACAGAGTACATTTTCTTTTTTTTTTTTTTTTATCCTCACCCGAGGACATTTTTCCATTTTTTGTACAGATAGAGTGGGAGGGAGAGAGAGGAAGAGAGAGAGAGAGAGAGAGAGACATCGATGTGAAAGGGACACATCGAGTGGCTGCCACCCGCACGACCAACCAGGGCCGGGGACAAACTGCAACCGAGGTACGTGCCCTTAGCGGGAACCGAACCCGGGTCTCTCAGGACTGCAGGTCGACGCTCCAACCGCTGAGCCAAACCGGCCAGGGCCAGAATACATTTTCTAAATAAAACTTATTAACTATGTCATAAATGGTCAACATGCGTCGTTAGTAAGTGCTGTTGCATTATCTTCTGTGGAAGATCCCAGCATTCCAAACACTGGTTGACCCATGTATTCTTCCAGAGAGTGAAACATGCTCTTAGGAAGTAGTGACGCATTCGTTATAATGTGACGTAGTCAGCGTCTGCAAACTGCTAGCGAAGTCTGGAAGAGTCTGCTGTACTGTGGCAGGGAGCTGTGGATTGTGGGAAACCTGCAGTGACATGTGTGAACACTTCACGTTAATTTGTACCAGGCGAGATTTTGGCAAACTGTTTTTAGCACATCTGTAATTACTAAACAAACAACTGCCAACTATGTAATGAATGTTCCAGTATCATCCCCTTGAAAATCACATTAAATTATATTTCAGCAAAGACACAGCATTCCACACATTTGGTTGTCCTGTGTATTCATACAAAGTGAAACATTTTCAATAGTTAATGCATATGTGATTTTATGGCTTAACATATAATCAATACATTAGTAAACACTGCTAGCAAACTTGCTAGAACAGTCTAGATTTAGTGTTTCAATGAGCAGTGCATTTTTGAAACCTGTAGTGAAATATTTGAACACCCTTAGAATTAATTCGCACCAAGCAGGATTTTGGCTGACTCTTTGGCACTGACGTTAGTGGAGGAACGAGTACTGTACCGTGCAGCCAGTGTTCCGGCCCCACCCCGCGTGACGGCATCACGTCTTACAGAAGAGCACAACTCCACGCATGGGCTGACCTGTGTATCCCTTCGAAGAGGGACACATGTTCGCAGTAGGTGATACATGTATCATTCTCTGACATAACTACAATAAATACATTTGTTAATGCTCCTAGCAAACTGTAGATCAGTCTAGACCTGGTGTTTCAATGAGGTGTAGACTGGAAACCTATAGTGCAGTGTTTGTCCCCTCTTGAAATTATTTTGTAACGAGGAATTTGGGCCAAGTCTTTTTAGCACAGAAAAAAATACTAAATAAAATTTAACTAATGTTTCAAAGTGCTCCCTTAATTAAGGGCATAGAAGATACCGTCAGCCCACACCCTGGGGTCACTGCATTTCTTCAAGAAAGCAAGCATGTGTTCTGGGTGATGCGTGAAGCTGGCCAGACCTACTGTACAGTCAGCCCGTTTGTCAGTGCTGCTGCCGGACTGTCAGGAAGACTCGTTCCGGTGTTTCGGTGGGCTGTGCATGAGGTAAAACCTGTAATGAGATTTGAACACTCAGAATGAATTCGTAATAAGAGGAATTTTGAGCTAACAATTTTAGCACAGACTAGAACTATTAAATAAAATTACTAGGTCATGACTGTTCTGGCTGGTGTGGCTCAGTGGACTGAGAGGTCCCGGTTCAATTCCTGGTCAGGGCACAGGTCCGGGCTGTGGGCTTGACCCCCAGTAGGGGGCGTGCA